CACTGCCGCTCCCGACCTAGCTGCTCCGGACTTGGCTGTGGCTGCTCTGGGCCTGGCCACTCCCAGCCTGGCAGCCGCTGCTCCGGGCCTGGCCGCGCCCGACCCGGCTGCTCCCCCGGGCCTGGCCGCTCCCAGCCTGGCAGCTGCTGCTCCGGGCCTGGCCGCGCCCGACCCGGCTGCTCCCCCGGGCCTGGCCGCTCCCAGCCTGGCAGCCGCTGCTCCGGGCCTGGCCGCGCCCGACCCGGCTGCTCCGGGCCCGGCCGCTTCGAGCCTGGCCACTCCTGGCCTGGATGCTCTGGGCTTGGCTACTGCTGTTCTGGGTCTGGCTGCTCCCACCCCGGCTGCTCTGGGTCCGGCTTCTCCAGGCCCGGCCACTCCGGGTCTGGGTGTTCCTTGACTGGCCATCCTGGGCTTGGCCGCCTCCGCCTCAGGCCTGGCTGCCACTGCCCCGGTGCTGGCTGTTGATGCTCTGGTTCTGGCTGCTACTGCTCTGGGGCCTGGCCATTGCTGCTACGGGCCTGGCTGCCACTGCCTTGTGCCTGGCCACTCTAGGCCTGGCCGCCGCTGTTCCAACATTCTGTCCTTTTTTTTTCTTTCTTTTTTTTTTTAAACGCATTTATGTTGCAATGTTGGCTGGTGAGTTGAGTTTTGACTTAGTCTTTGATTTTTCAAGAACTTCTTTGTATTCTTTCTTAAGTAATTTTACTATCTTTTGCTCTCACTTGATTTCTTCACATTGAGAACTTCTTTGGTTTCTTCCTCCTTGTCCTGGGAGCTCAGCAGGTTGGCCTGTGGCACCCCTTTGTTCTCCGCTGGCTCCTGTGCTGCTTCAGCCTGTTGCCGGGGAAGGCACCGCCCAGGAAGCAGTTCCCGGCCTTGGCTCCATTGCCCGCGCTCAGCAGTCAAAGGCTCAGGGGCCCTGTCGCCCGCCTCCTTGCTGGTGCCCGGTTGGCCGGCGTCCGGCAGGGCCTCCCGCATGCCGCCGCGTTCCCCCAGCCCGGAGCTTTTTTTCTCCTTCTGGCTAGGGGAGTCCAGCATCAGAGTCAACAGACTGTTCTCTGCGCGCAGTGTGCGCGAGTCCGGGGGCCCGGCCTTTCGCCGCTCTCCCCGGACTCCACCTCACAGCCCCGTCTCCCTCTGCCTGAGCCTGGGTCCCCAGGGATTGGCCCAGAACTGGGGTTCGGAGCAGTCCGGACTGAGGCTCAGCACCGCCGGAGGCCTTGTTTCTTCCAGCTAGGGTAACCCAGCATCAGAGTCAACATTCAGTCCTCTGTGCGCGCATTGCGCGCGACTCCGGGGGCCCTGCTTTTCGCCGCTCTTCTGGGATTCCGCCTCACAGCCCCGTCTCCCCCAGCCGGAACCTGGGTCCCCAGGGTCTGGCCCATAACGGGCTCAGCGCTGCCATTCGGGGGTCTCAGCGCTGCCGGTTCGGGGGTTCAGCCCAGGCTGGGGGTTTTATTTCCTTCCTGCTAGGGAACGCCAGGCAGCACCCAGCCCTCTCCTCCTCTTCGGCTGCGACCTCTTCTCTTGCGCGGGCGGGCAGGTGCGCGTAGCATGTCTCCGTACCTTAGGCTTTTTTTCAGCTCCTCTGATTTTCCTTCTGGTTTTCTCTTTCCTTCTAGTAGAATTTTCAGTCAGTCGACTACCTGTAGCTCTGGGCAATGTCCACTCTACATTTTAGTTGTATTCCATTGAAATTGTTGTGTGCTGCCTCGGTTAGATGTCTACCCGAGCAGCCATCTTGGATCTCTCCCCTCTGTCCATTTTAATTTATTTTTTAATCTTTATTGTTGAAAGTATTACATGTCTCCTTTTTCATCCCATTGACCCCTTCTAGCCTGTCTCTCTTCTTCATCCTCCCAGGCCTCCACCACCCTATTGTCTCTGGGATTTGCATATATGCATACAAATACTTTGGTTGATCCTTTCCCATCCACCTACCCACCCACTATCTTCCCTCTGAAATTCTGCAGTCTGTTCTATACTCGATGTCTCTGGATCTATTTCGTTATCTATTTTGTTCATTAGATTCCATGTACGAGTGAGATCATGTGATATTTGTCTTTTCTCTGACTGGCTTATTTCACTTAGCACTGTGGTCCGCAAACTGAGGCTCTTGAGCCACATGTGACTCTTTGGCCCCTTGAGTGTGTCTCCTCCGCAAAATACCCCGGCCTGGGCAATTCATTTTGAAGAAGTGATGTTAGAAGTTTACGTTTAAAAAAGTTGGCTCTCGCCGAAACCGGTTTGGCTCAGTGGATAGAGAGTTGGCCTCTGGACTGAAAGGTCCCGGGTTCGATTCCGGTCAGGGGCATGTGCCTTGGTTGCGGGCATTTCCCCAGTGGGGGTGTGCAGGAGGCAGCTGATCGGTGATTCTCTCTCATCGATGTTTCTAGCTTTCTATTCCTCTCTCTTCCTCTCTAAAAACTCAATAAAAAAGTTGGCTCTCATAAGAAATTTCAATCGATCTACTGTTGACATTTGGCTCTTTTGACTAATTAGTTTGCCGACCACAGACTTAGCATAATACTCTCCAGGTCCCTCCATGCTGTCTCAAAGGGTAAGAGATCCTTCTTTTTTAGTCCTGCATGGTATTCCATGGTGTAAATGTACAACTTTTTCTATCCACTAGTCTACTGATGGGCATTTGAGCTGTTTCTAGATTTTAGCTATTATAAATTGAGCTGCATGAACATAGGGATGCATGCATTTTTTTCTGATTGGTGTTTTGGGTTTCTTAGGATATATTCCTAGAAGTGGGATCATTGGGTCAAATGGCAGTTTTCCATCCCCCAGGAAACCCCAAATTTTTCCAAAATGGCTTTCTGCATTCCCATCAGCAGGGTACGAAGGATCCCTTTTCTCCACATCGTGGCCAACACTTGTCATTTGTTGATTTATTGATGGCAGCCATTCTGGAAGGTGTGAGGTGATACACATAGTCATTTTAATTTGCATATCTCTGATGATCAATAAAGTTGAGATTTTTTTCATTTGTGTCTTGGTCATCTGTTTGTCCACTTTGGAGAAGGGTCTTTTTAAGTCCTTTGTCCGTTTTTAATTGGATTACTTGTATTTTGTTAATTTGTATGAGTTCTTTATGTATTTTGCATATTAACTCTTTGTCATATGTATCATGGCCAAATATGTTCTCCCATACAGTGGGCTCCCTTTTTGTTTTGTTGATGGTTTCCTTCGCTGTGCAGAGTTTTTTTCTTTTGCTGTAGTCCCATTTGTTTATTTTCTCTTTAGTTTCCTTTTCCCTGAGAGATGTATCTGTAAATATATTGGTAAAAGAGATGTCTGAGATTTTGCTGCTTATGGTTTCTTCTAGGATTTTTATTTTTTTGAGATAGGCCCGTAATGCTATGATCCTTCCCTCTGCTGTGTCTCAGAGATTTAGCCTCCATGTGTTTAAATGTTTTGAATGTTTTTACTGTAGTTGATTTCTAATTTCATTCCATTGTGATTTGAGAAGATGTGATATGATTTCAATCTTCTTGAACTTGTAAGAGACTTGTTTTTGTGCTAACGTGTGGTCTTATCTTTGTGAATGACCCACGTGCACTTGAGAAGAATGTAAATTCTGCCCTTTGGTGTGAAATGTTCTGTAAATGTCAATTAAATCCATCTAATCCAGTGTGTCATTTGGAGTTACTGTTTCCTTGTTAATTTTTTGTTTGGAAGATCTATCCAGTGAAGTCAGCGGGATAGTAAAGTACCTAGTAGGTATAACTATATTGTTGTCTATCTCTCCTTTAGAGGCCTCCAAAAGTTTTTATATGTATACTAGAGGCCCGGTTCATGAAATTATTGCATGGGTGGGGTTCCTGGGCCTGCCCAGCGATCAGGGTCTATCATGACCAGGGCCTGCCAGATGGGGGGAAGGGCCGAGGGAGGTTTGCTGGCCCAGGGGGAGGGACCAGGGGAGGTTGGCTGGCTGTGGGAGATTGGCTGTGGGAGCGCACTGACCACCAGGGAGCAGCTCCTGTGTTGAGTGCCTCCTTGTGGTCATTGCACCTCATAGCAACTGGTTGATCAGTCATTCTGTTATAATGGTCGCTTGGGCTTTTACATATATAGATCTGTACACACACACACACACACACATTTATATGTATATTTAATTCTCACCAGAGGATATTTTTCTATTGATTTCTAGAGAATGAAAGTGAGAGGAAAAGACAGGGAGGCAATGTCAATGTGAGAGGAACACATCGATTGGTTGCCTCCTGCATGCCGACCAGGGTCTGGGTCGGGGAGGAGCCTGCAACCAGATTCAAACCCGGGACTCCAGTTCGCAGGCCAGTGCTCTATCCACTGAGCCAAAGCAGCAAGAGCAGAAGTTTTTAATATATTTAGGTGCTGCTATATTGGGTGCATATATGTTTACTGCTTTAATTTTAATAGCAGGACTTTAAAAACATTCTTTGTGTGTCTTTTTACCCTTTGCTCTGTTTCATAAATTAAATTAACTTTATGGTGACTTTAATCAAGCCTTCAGTTTTGCTTTTCTGTGCCTTTTAAAAATTATGACATGTGCCGAAGCCGGGTTGGCTCAGTGGTAGAGCATCGGTCTGCGGACTGAAAGGTTCCAGGTTCGATTCCGGTCAAGGGCATGTACATTGGTTGCGGGCACATCCCCAGTAGGGGGTGTGCAAGAGGCAGCTGGTCGATGTTTCTCATCAACGTTTCTGGCTCTCTATCTCTCTCCCTTCCTCCTCTCTGTGAAATATCAATAAAATATATTTTTTAAAAAATTATGACATGTTATTTCTTCTCCTTTACTGTATATCTGTATATCAAAATTATCTCATCATTGTTTCAGAAAAGCCCTTCTTATTTTAGGTCAGAGTAAGATTTATAGTCCATGCTCAAACATAACAATAATGACTTTCAGAGAGAAGACTGATAACATGAAATGATTTTTTTATGCAAATTACTGTGTTCACCTGTGACCAGTTACCCAAGCCTTATTTCTTGTTTTAGATTTTATCGCAATGGAGCTCAGTGATGCAAATTTGCAAACGCTAACAGAATATTTAAAGAAAACTCTTGATCCTGATCCCGCCATCAGACGTCCAGGTAAAGAGAATAAATATTGTTTGTGGTTGATTTATTCTTAAAGGACAGGTGAGGGAAAACTTTATGCCAACTGCTGTTTGTAAATATAGATTAAAAAAAAAAAAGATTTACACTTGGATTCTCAGTTTATTTTTCTTTTTTTTCTTTTTTTTTTCTTTTTTTATATTTTTTTTAAATTTTATTGATTTTTCACAGAGAGGAAGAGAGAGGGATAGAGAGTTAGAAACATCGATGAGAGAATCATCGATCAGCTGCCTCTTGCACACCCCCCACTGGAGATGTGCCCGCAACCAAGGCACATGCCCTTGACCGGAATCGAACCCGAGACCATTCAGTCCGCAGGCCGACGCTCTATCCACTGAGCCAAACCGATCCCGGCCTCAGTTTATTTTTCATTCTGTAACCATAAAATGTGTGGTTGGCTGTCTTCAAATGTTATAGCATAGGGTGGTGCGGTTTTTTGTTTTTTTTGTTTGTTTGTTTGTTTTTTAAGTAAAATAGCTTTTATTTGGCCTCCTCTGGAATATAAAGTACTAATATGTTTAGAATGCTTTTTCCCTTCACTTTTCTGAAATTCCCTACACCTGCCAGTTTTAGAAAGATAATAATTAGGGCATAGAGATGAGTGTTAACTGCCTAAAAAGTGATTAAGTGAATGAAACCAGGCAATCAGACACTCCATTCATAATCTTCATGCTAGGATTGATTTAATTATTACATATTAAGACCTATCAGTTTCCATGAGAAACTTAGTATAAACTTAGATTTGCAACTCAGGTGCCCACAGGAATCAGATGTGAAGGTAAATGAGGGAGCAGGCCAAGTGGGGACTGGTAATCTGTGACTCTATGCTTTGGTAAGGGGCAGTTATTATTTGGAACCAGCTGTGTTAGGGGATTCAAACTAGTTTTGCAAAAATCTTATTTCCAGCTTTACTTGAAAAATAAGGGTATTTATATGAAATGTCCTTACTTTTAAGTGATAGCAACTAATAACTTCGAACAATTTTGAAATTCATACAAATCAAACTAATTTTGAGGGCCATATGTGTCCTGTAAGTAGTCACTTGAGGATCCTTGATGTAAGCCATATTAACCAGAAATGCTTTTATTTTTTATTTATTTTTTTAAAAAAATATTTTTTATAGATTTTGTACAGAGAGGAAGGGAGAGAGATAGAGAGTTAGAAACATCGATGAGAGAGAGTCATTGATCAGCTGCCTCTTGCACACCCCCTACTGGGGATCTGCCTGCAACCAAGGTACATGCCCTTGACCGGAATCGAACCCGGGACCCCTCAGTCCCCAAGCCAATGCTCTATCCATTGAGCCAAACCGGTTCCGGCACCAGAAATGCTTTTAATCTTCTTTAGAATTTACTAGTGTGCGTGCTCATGAAGAGAATTTTGGAAGGGCCCCATGCAGATACAAATGAATGCATGCATGTGTGTATGTCATAGTGATGTTACATACAAAACATAGAATTGTAAACATGTTAATGCAATTCATCCTAGCCTTTGTGATTTCTGAGAGGAAAAATTTGTGAACTTCCCATTAGTGCTTAAAGAAGTAATGTGTTCTTGGATAAAAGGAAATTAATGGCTCTAATCTTCTTAGTCTTTCCCAGAAAACCTCTGCCAACATTATCTATTGAAATAATTTTTAATAATTGTGTCTTTTAAGGTGAAGGTGGCATTTTTTTTTTTTTATTAATCCAGGACAGAGTGTAGGAATAAACTGGTGTTTCTGAGAAGAGTTATGGACATATTTCTTAGGTATAGGTAGTAGACTGACTCAACATCTTTATAAAATGATATGAATGTGGCAATGTATAGTGGATTCCAGCTTATAAATACCACTCTTCTCCTGGGTTATTGAGGTGTGATAGTGGTATAGATAAACTGGAAGACATTTTGAAGCTCATTGAGTGTGTGGAAATATGTCAGTGTGAATATTCTGAGCACAAATTGAGAAAAATGAGCACAGAAAGGAATATACTTAAACTCATGAGAAAATTGCTTCCAGGATATTAATTATAATTTAAGAAAGAGACCTGGCAGTCTCTATGAGCTTTCTCCCAAATCATGGATATAGTGTGTTGCCCTGTACAAAATGCTGACACTAAGGAAATAGTAAGAGCCTGATAGACTCGTAGGAAATTGTTTTCTGCTACTTAAAACCATGTTTCAGCCGAAACCGGTTTGGCTCAATGGATAGAGCATCGGCTTGGGAACTGAAAGGTCCCAGGTTCGATTCCGGTCAAGGACATGTACCTTGGTTGTGGGCATATCCCCGTGTGCAAGAGGCAGCTGATCGATGACTCTCTCTCATCGATGTTTCTGACTCTCTATCTCTCTCTCTTCCTCTCTGTACAAAATCAATAAAATATATATTTTTTAAAAACAAAAAACAAACAAACCATGTTTCAGTTCATTTCTCATCTTTAAAGAAAGACATGGTGACAGAAAGCAGGAAAGGTTTGAGGATGGAAGTTAAACTCTTGGGACTCAATTCAGAGAGAATAAAAGTGTTAAATCATTTTTTTTTAAATATATTTTTTATTGAGTTCAGAGAGTAATATTAAATCTCCTGAGTTTACTGGTTACACAGTGAAGGTGTATAGCACTTCTAATTTTTCCTGTCCTAAGCCTCACTCATTCATAGGACCCAGTACCTATTGAAAAGGTCTGCTGTTAGCACCTATTATTTTCTACCATAATATTATTCAGCCCGACCCATGTTGCTCAGTGGTTGAGCGTTGACCTATGGACTCAGGAGGTCATAGTTTGAATCCTGGTCGGGGCACATGCCCAGGTTATGGGCTCAATCCCAGTGGGATCATTCAGGAGGCAGCTGATCATTGATTGTCTCTCATCATTGATGTTTCTATATCTCCCTCTCCCGTCCTCTCTGAAATCAATAAAAAATATTTTTAAAAGATAGATAGATAGATAGATAGATAGATAGATAGATAGATAGATAGATAGATAGGGGCATCTTTAGTAAGAATTGTCAGGATCATTGATCGGCTGCCAATTGTACCACCCCATTGGGGATCAAGCCTATAACCTGGGTATGTGCCCTGATTGGGAATTAAACTGTGACCTCATGGTCTATAGGTTAAGGCTCAACCACTGAGCAACACTGGTCAGGCTAAATGATATTATAGGAAATGATAGGTGCTAGTAGCATCTTTTTTCAAAGGGTATTAGATCCTTGGAATGAGTGAGGCTTACGATAGGGAAAATTAGAAGTGCTATATACCTTCACTGTGTAATCAGTAAACTTAGGGTATTTAATATTTCTAAGTGTAATATCAGTGTGAAAATGTGTTAAAATCTTAGTATAAATTTATTGATGGTATTAGGAATGTGTATAACTAGAAGAAAACTGAAGTCTAGTCTGGTCAAATAAGGACAAGACGAAACTTTTTCAGTGATGAAATATTGTAGCTCTGTGTTCTTTGACAAGTTACCTAACCTCGGTGGCCTTGTCTTTAAAATGAGGTTAAAATAACCTACCTCTCTGGGTAATAGTGACAACTTAATGAAATAATATATGTGAGTAAAGCTGCAGACTCATAGAGTTAATAACATATTAGCCGGAATTAACTCTTTTAATCTTGATCATGGTAATACTGTAAAAAGAAATAATGCTACCATTACTAATAGTACTAATAATAGCCCTTCTGGAACAAGACTGTGTATAACTTTTACCCTAAAGTCACTCTCTAAGAAGCAGGTTCTCCTTCAGATGGGGTGGTCTTCTGATGAGACCACATTATAGGTTTGTGAGAATCAGGTGAGTCAAATGATTTGAAAACTGAGGTATTATGTAAGTTTAATAATAATAATAATAATATAATAACATCATATATAGTCCTTTTAATAGATAAGAAAAGTGAGGCTCAGTAGACCCTTGATTAGTTTCCAAAGGGAAAAGATCTTTTCCATTTTATGATGCTTAAATCTGATATACATAGTTCCACATACACATAATGTAGAGATATTTGATTATAATAACAAATCTAACATGGAAATTCTTTTATAGCTGAGAAGTTTCTTGAATCTGTGGAAGGAAATCAGAATTACCCACTGTTGCTTTTAACATTACTGGAGAAGTCCCAGGATAATGTTATAAAAGTGTGTGCCTCAGTAACATTCAAGAACTATATTAAAAGAAACTGGAGAATTGTAAGTATTTTGTGAATACATAGTTCAATACCTTGTAGGTTTATATGCAGTGCTCCTGAAAGATTTTGGACACACTGAAGATAAAATTAAACAACACCCTCTTCAGCAAAATACTAACAAATCAAATAAGAGTATAAAAATACACACCATGATCAAATGGGATTTATCCCAGGTAGCAAGGCTTGTTCAATGTTCAAAAATTAATTAGCGTCTTGACTTGGGGTGGTGAATGCACAATACATTATACAAATGAGATAGAATTGTATACCTAAAACCTATATAATTTTACTTAACAGTGTCACCCCAGTAAATTTAATTAAAAAGTTAAAAATTGATTAATGTAATTCATCACATCAGTAGACTAAAAAAAGAAGAATCAGCTCTGGCCGGCTAGCTTTTTAAAAACATTATATTGGAAGTCTTTGCCAATGCAGTAATAAAAAGGAGCAAAGAGGACACAAAACTGTCTTTGTTCATAGATGGCATGATTGCCTGTTAGAAAACCTGAAAGAAGGATATTTTTCCAAAGTTCCTGTTTCATTTGAATTCATACAGATTACTTCAACTTTATAACTCAGGTTGCTAGAGGATTATGAAACTAGGTTTTAACCTCTGTTTAATTCTAGCTAATTATCTTTTGAAGAGACATATGGGAAAACAGTCTAAGTGAATAAATGAAGCAGTTTGTATTGTGGACTGGGAAAAATTATAAAAAGCTGAAAATTTTATATATATAAAAATTTGTAAAATGCAAAATAATGAGAACCAAGATGAGGGCATAGGTAAACACCTATACCTACTTGTTGCCTCTCGCAACCAACCTAAGGCTATTGGCAACCAACCCAAGGCTATTGGCGGCAGTAGCCTGCCTTGCTTCACAGCTGGGCACTTCCAAACCTCAAAGAGGAGAAATCTGCAGATCTCACTGTAGCTCCTGCTGGGTGGCCTCAGGCAGTGGCTGACTTTGCACTTCCTTGGAGATCCAAGAGCCAGTATACCCAGTGGTCAATGTAAGACCATTCCAGATTACAACTCTTCACGTCCATAAGTTACACACTCAAGGGACAGACACAGTGAGCACCAAAACCCCACTGAAGCAAGTCCTGCCCCATAAGGGTATTTCCAGCACAGCAGTTCTTCTATTGTAGACACTGCTGGTCCTCACAGCCAATTGGCCTGAAGATCATTTCCTCCCAGTGATACCAACAGCAATCAAAGCTTAACTACAACAAGACTTCACCCAGCCCAAAAAGGGGTGCACCAAGAGTGTCCACCCAGCCCAAAAAGGGGTGACTGGGGAAGCTGAGACACTGGGCCCTGTAGGACACCTAGCACACAAGGCCACTCTATCAACACAGGGAAGCAGCCAAATGTGGAGACAAACATGTCACAAATGAAAGAAATGGAGGAAAGCAAACTGATTTCTCAACAGAACTATGCAGGCCAGAAGGGAGTGGCAAGAAATATTCAAATTGATGAATAGCAAGAACCTACAACCAGGATTATTCTATCCAGCCAAAACCGGTTTGGCTCAGTGGATAGAGCCTCGGCCTGCGGACTGAGGGATCCCAGGTTTGATTCCGGTCAAGGGCATGTACCTTGGTTGCAGGTGTGTCCCCAATGGGAGGGTGCAGGAGGCAACTGGTTGATGTTTCTCTCTCATTGATGTTTCTAGCTCTATGTCCCTCTCCCTTCCTCTGTAAAAAATCAATAAAATATATTTAAAAACAAAAAAGATTATTCTACCCAGCAAAGCTATCATTTAGAATTGAAGGTCAGATAAAGTGCTTCACAGACAAGAAAAAGCTAAAGGAGTTCATCACCACCAAACCAGGATTATATGAAATGCTGAAGGGTATTCTTAAGAAGAGGAAGAAGAAAAAAGTAAAGATAAAAATTATGGACAATAAATACACAGCTACCAACAAATGAATCTAAAAATCAAGTGAATAAAAAATCTGATGAACAGAATAAACTGGTGAATATAATAGTATCAGGGGCATAGAAAGGGAGTGGACTGACATTTTTGGTGGGGAGGCGGGGAAGGGGGTATAGGGGCTGCGGGAAGAGATTGGAAAAAAATCTTACACCTGTGGACGAGGACAGTGGCAGAGAGTAAGGGCATGGGATAGGGTGGGAACTAGGTTGAGGGGAGCTATGATGAGGGGGGAGGGATATCTGTAATAATCTGAACAATAAAGATTTATTTTTAAAAAATGCAAAATAACTTATTTTGAAGTTTTTGTGTTTTTTTTTTTAATATATTTTATTGATTTTTGTACAGAGAGGAAGGGAGAGAGATAAAGAGTTAGAAACATCAATGAGAGAGAGTCATCGATCAGCTGCCTCTTGCACACCCCCTACTGGGGATATGCCGGCAACCAAGGTACATGCCCTTGACCGGAATCGAACCCGGGACCTTTCAGTCGCCAAGCCGACTCTCTATCCGTTGAGCCAAACCGGTCTCGGCTATTTTGAAGTTTTTGATAAGGGATTGTGCCCTATGTCTTGTGTGATATGGAAATATATACTAATTTTAAGGTGACAGTTTAATGACTATAAATTTGTTATAAATTAAGGAACAGATAATAGGGGTGATTTTTGCCCACCAGGCCATATTTGGTTAAATATTGATTGTCACAGCTTGGGGTGGGGAGAGCAGGCATCTAGTGGGTAGGGATGAATGTAATCATCCTACAATATACAAGAAAGATTTCTACCATAAAGATTTATCTGACCCAAAATAAATAGTCAGGAATTCAGGGTTGAGGAAACATGGCATAGGATAAAGAAAAGGAAAAAAAAAAAGAGAATTGTTTTATGGTGATAGCAGTAATGATAATTATTTAGAAATGATTACCATTGACAAAAATTAGGTGTAGGCCCAATCCCTATCCGACATCCTCCAAATCAACTTTAAATCTTCTTAAATATTTATTTTGGAATCTTTTTTCTTCACTTCATAAAAGAATTTAAAAGTAGTAAATACTAGTTTAAGCTTGTATCTTTAATAAGCACATGTGAAAAAAATGACCTGGTGATTCTTTTAAATATATTTTATTTATTTTTTACAGAGAGGAAGAGAGAGGGATAGAGAGTTAGAAACATCGATGAGAGAGAGTCATCAATCAGCTGCCTCTTATACACCCTCTACTGGGGATGTGCCCACAACCAAGGTATGTGCCCTTGACCGGAATCGAACCCAGGACCCTTCAGTCCGCAGGCTGACGCTCTTTCCACTGAGCCAAACCGGTTTGAGCGACATGGTGATTCTTAAAATGTTTAAAAATCCCTCTCTCTACCTCTATCTTGATTTGTAAACTACTAAGACTTGCAGACCTTTTTGAGTGATGTAGTCCTGGATACATTCAAACCATAATGGTCAAGAGATTTTCATTGAGAAAGACCTTTGACTTAGAGAGTCAAAATTGAAGCTTTTGAAGATAAATATGTACTAAACTGCATATATAAAGATTTTAATCACATGTTGTGATTAGTTTATAAAACTGGGAGTCATAATTGGCATCAGGGAATCAGAAGCTTATTAATTTGTATGTAAAATATTTGCATTTGGGATGGAATATACATTTTTCCTATCAAAGAATTAATGCTTTCATGAAAAGTAGAGGGAAGGCCCTACTTTACTCTATGCTTTTCTTAAAAAACCAGGAAATAAGAAGTGGTTCTATTTTTTCCTACAAATCTATCTGGTCAAGGACATGGATTTTGTTACTTGCTCATGGATATTTTGTTTTTAGGTTGAAGATGAACCAAATAAAATTTGTGAAACTGACCGAGTAGCCATTAAAGCCAACATAGTTCACTTGATGCTTAGCAGCCCGGAGCAAATTCAGAAGCAGGTAATGTAAAGCCCTTTTGTTTTTAGGCAGGCTTGTTTGTAGAGCTTTTGTCTTATTAATCTTTTCCCTCCTCTTCTCAGTTAAGCGATGCCATTAGCATAATCGGTAGAGAAGATTTCCCTCAGAAATGGCCCAACTTGTTGACAGAAATGGTGAATCGCTTTCAGAGTGGTGATTTTCACGTTATTAATGGAGTCCTTCGTACAGCACATTCTTTATTTAAAAGGTATTTACATAAAAATTCATACATTTAAAATACTTTTTTTTTTTTTTATATGTTTTTGCTTTTGTAAGCAGTTTATATTTCTGTCACTGTTGTCATTCCTTTGAATATAATAATTCTGGAATAAGAGCATAAGCCTCTCAATTACTAGTATGTTTCTTCTTAAGTAGGATATTTATTTCATACTAGAGGCCTAGTGTATGAAATTCATGCAGTATTGGAAGTGGTGTCTCTCAGCCCAGCCTGCACCCTCTCCAATTTAGGATCCCTTGGAGGATGTTGGATAGGGATTGGGCCTAAACCGGCAGTCAAAAATCCCTCTCACAATCCGAGACTGCTGGCTCCCAACTGCTTGCCTTTCTACCAGCCTGATCACCTTCTAACTGCTCTCCTGCTGGCCTGATTGCTCCCAACTGCCCTCCCCTGTAGGCCTGATCCCCCCAATTGCGCTCCCCTACTGGCCAGGTTGCCCCTAACTGCCCTTCCCTGCTGGCCTGATCTCCCACAACTACCCTCCCTTACCAGCTTCTTGTGGCAGCCGTCTTTGACCACATGGGGGTGGCTATCTTGTGCGATGGTATGAGGGTCAATTTGCATATCATCTCTTTATTATATAGGATTGCCCTAGCTGTAAAATACCTAGTCTCCTTAAACTGTGCTTGATTCCTTTAAAAAAGAAGAATTTCATAAAATTAGAATTTTCTCTAATCTATTCTTAAGGAGCTAAAGTCAATAATTAAAAACTTGTAAGTTGCCTATTTCATCTTAATTTTCTAGATACCGCCATGAATTTAAGTCAAACGAGTTATGGACTGAAATTAAACTTGTTCTGGATGCCTTTGCTTTACCTTTGACTAATCTATTTAAGGTATGGGATACTATAATTACTTGATATTTATTGCTTAAATATTTAATTCCAGCCTAGTGCAAAGCTCATTTCATGAAGGCTTACAATACATTAACACTATGTTCCTAAATTCCTTTCAAAGGCCACCATTGAACTCTGTAGTACCCATGCAAATGATGCCTCTGCCCTGAGAATTCTTTTTTCTTCCCTGATATTGATCTCAAAATTGTTCTACAGTTTAAATTTTCAGGTAAGTTTTATTTCTTGTTTTTGATTCTTATTCTTTGTTGAAAAAATATGCAACTTTCCATTTGAAGAAGACCTCTTTGCCAGCATTGATTTTTCTGAAAGTAAATAAATTAGTTTTTTACTCCCTCCATTCTTTGTATACAAATAGTCATTGTTATGGAGAACCATCCTATACTTTAGTGGCGGGGTATGTCCAGCCCACATGCCATATAAGTCCCGAGGAATCATCTGGTCTGGCCCTCCCAAGGCATTAGAGACTAGTTAATTAAATGTCTGACCAAATGTAACAGCCTAGTTTAAGTTGATAATTTTGTATGGCCCTGGAATGATGTTAGGAATATTCAAAAGGCCCTTGGCAGAAAAAAGGTTCCCCAGCCCTTCTCTACTTTTATTGAAGACATGAGATCACATTCTCAGGCCTTCCTCTTGTTCATTTAAGTGGGTCTCAGCACTGGGGAGCCATGCTTTGTTTAGAGATCTATGGCTAGCTTATACAAAAAGGCTCTTATTGGAAACATCTGGGGGAGACAAGGCAAAGAACCAGTATTTAGAAGTTATAAGAAGCAGTGTTATTTCAGAGGAAACATAGCCACAATTATAGTAGAAAATGCCCAATCACCCTGTGCTACTAAGATAGTGGACTCCAGTCATTCTTTCTGTTCTTGACGCATTTCATTCAGATTCAGGGCTCCAGGAACCAAAGGGGATCTTAAGGCTAGAGGAAGGACCTGGCCTTTTCATTGGTCCTAGCCAGGGCCAAGGACAGGGACTTAATCCTTACAGGATGACTCACAGTGGTAGGGAAAGCATTTCATCAAAGGATTGGATAGAGTTGGAATTGAACAGCTCAGAATGCCATAACCACATCAGTGGTCAGCTAGATAGCAGTTTGAGAAAGCTAATTAAAGGATGCCACTGTTTTTCCTTATACCTTTTGTCTTTTTTTTTCTCGCGCCTATCTTGCTTATATCTTTTTTTGAATTCTGCTTCCTGGAAGTCAGGTAGAATAAGATTCTTATTAGGTATAGTCAGGGACACCAAAGACATAATGTTACCCTTGGGGAATTTATCAACCTCATTAAGAAGGCAGTACTGTTAATAGGAAACCATTGTCTGCATAAGACAGTAAGTCTGAACTGGTGGTCATCTTACACTAAATGCAATAGTTCAGAAAGGAAAAGGAATATATTGGTAAGCACTGAGTTTAATAAGGAAAGGCTTCATTCATACAGTCTTAGCTGGACCTGGAAAGAATAAGTTGATTTAAATTAAATTGGGACAGGAAACCAAGCAGCATTATTTGTGGTTGAAAGTGTGTTAAAATAGAGACAGAAGTCAGAATGGTTTATTCATCTGCCAGATCTAATTAGAACAGAGAATTCTTGTTAAAATAGATAATGGTTGGCTTAAGCTAAGAAGTGTGGACTTGGAGTCTGTAGGCATGTATGTGGAAAACGTTTGGTGTGTGTGCAGGGGGAACTGAAGTAGACAGCATACTTATTTTTAAAATATGTTTTTTTTTTAAAAAATGTTTTTATTGATTTTTTTTTTTTTTTTTTTTTTTTTTTTTTTTTTTTTTTTTTATAGAGAGAGAGGGAGAGAGAGAGAAACATCGATCAGCTGCCACCCTGACATATGCCTAGACTGGAATTGAACCAGTGACCTCTTAGTGCATGGAATAACGCTTAATTCACTGAGCCACACTGGCAGGGAAATATGCTACTTATTTTAATTAAAAGTCTCAAGTCTGCATTTATTCTTTAGGATCTTCCTGAATTTTTTGAAGATAATATGGAAACTTGGATGAACAATTTTCATACTCTTTTGACATTAGATAATAAACTTCTACAAACTGATGTAAGTATTGTTTAAAATATTTCCCAAATAGCCTTTTGTTAAAATTAAGAATTTGAAATATAATCATATATATTAATTATATCTCATTTTGTTTTAATTTAAGACATTATTTGAGTACCCTCTGAGAAGCTTGGAGGGTAGTTAGACTTCAGAAAATGAAATAAAATTATTGGAGAACATTTGACATTCTAGTTCCTTAAAAATTATTTACTCTTGCATTGTTAATAGCTAGAATTTCAAGAATGCAAATAATTTAATTATGTAGGATGTTTCATATATGGTTATGTGTAGTGTACAGAATCAATTACTCTTATTGTGGACCTGGCTTAGGTCACTATATGTAGATTAGACTATTTTATTACATTGAAATAAGGCCTCAGAGTATTCACAGTGTGAACATTTATGAAATAGAAAATTGTCACTGAAGATATTAAGAAAACATAAAACTTAGACCTCTGTAATAATATTCTCTTTAAAAAAGTCAAACAGCGTAGGAAATAGGGGACATGAAGAAAGTGTGTAATGTATAAGTTTCCAATCTGGGCTCTGTAATATGTGCTTTTCAATGCATAGCATTTATTCTGTTACTCATTTGCTTCTTTACTAATGTGTTTATGATCCCCCCCTTTCCCAAGAAATAACAAAAGCATAAAAAAGCAAAATTTTAAAATACTTCACCAAATACAAGAAAAATTGGAATTAGTAATTCAAGTCAATTTTTGAGAGTGGGCTGCAGAGGGAGAGTCATTACTATGAGTTTATAGCAAATTTTGTCTAAGGTTCATAATAAAAGGCCAAGAGGCATTGCAACCCAACGACCGGTCATCATGAGGGGAACCCCCTCCCCCACCCTCCCGCCTGGACTGGGGGCATGGTCTGTCTTCCAGGTCTTCCAAACCGGCCGCCCCTAGCTCAGGCTGACCCAGCCCCCCAGAGGGGACTGCCACCATCAGGAGCATGGGTGGCCTTCAAGCCGGACCCTAACAGGAGGGAGGAGGGAGCCCCATTCCTTGCAGAATCACCCATGGGTCAGCTTGCTGTCAGCAGCCTGCCAGCCAGGAATCCCACTCACTTGCACCCTGGACCCATTAAAAAGGCCAAATTTCTCATTATTTTTCTTTCTTTTAAAAAAAATATATATATTTTATTGATTTTTTTTTTTTTTTTTTTTTTTTTTTTTTTTTTTTTTTTACAGAGAGGAAGAGGGAGAGAGAGTTAGAAACATCGATAAGAGAGAATTATCAGCTGCCTCTTGCACACACCCTACTGGGGAATGTGCCTGTAACCAAGGTACATGCCCTTGACCGGAATCGAACCCGTGACCTTTCAGTTCGTAGGCTCCATCCACTGAGCCAAACCAGTTTCAGCCAAACTTCTCATTATTGATGAATGCACCATGGTATCAGTTATGCTATAAACGCCATAGACAGATTTCTAAGAGAAATTAAGAATTTGAATGTTGTATTTGGTGGGAAAGTTCTTCTCAGAGGGGATTTTCTACTGTCTCAGTGTTGTGCTGCATCCGCATGCTATGCGATCAGCCATAATACAAATGAGTTTAAAGTACTGTAATGGCCAAACCGGTTTGGCTCAGCGATAGAGCGTCAGTCTGTGGACTGAAAGGTCCCAGGTTCGATTCCGGTCAGGGGCATGTGCATTGGTTGCGAGCACATCCCCGGTAGGGGGTGTGCAAGAGGCAGCTGGTCGGTGTTTCTCTCATTGACGTTTCTGGCTCTCTGTCTCTCTCCCTTCCTCTCTGTAAAAAATCAATAAAAATATATTTAAAAAAAAATAAAGTACTGTAATGTTTGGGGATGTTTCAGAAAGTTGTCTCTTAAATATGAGATCAGGATTCTGCATACAGTGAATGGTTAGTAAAACTTGGAGATGGCAAACTTGGTAGCAGTTTTCATTTAGGAATGGATATTATTGAAATCCCCTGTGAAATTATTTGTAATGGATCTATTATTAAAGCTACCTTTGGAAATACTATATCTATAGTTAATATTAAAAATATATCTAGCCTTAACCGGTTTGGGTCAGTGGATAGAGCATCGGCCTGCGGACTGAAGGGTCCCAGGTTTGATTTCAGTCAAGAGCATGTACCTTGGTTGCGGGCACATCCCTAATAGGGGTGTGCAGGAGGCAGCCGATTGATGTTTCTAACTATCCTGCTCCCTTCCTCTCTGTAAAAAAAGCAATTAAATATATTTTAAAAAATATATATTTAAACGTGCAATTCTTTGTTCAAAAATGAGCATGTTCAAAAATTAAATGAAATTTTTTATATACTTGATGGTGACTTTCACACATATTTGAGTGATGATTCCATTGATTCAAAACAGGATGATAAAAGGAAAATTTTCCTATCAAATTTCTTAATAGTATTACTCCTTTGGGAATGCCATGTCATAAATTAAAATTGAAAATGGGTGTAATCATCATGCTACGGAGAAATCTTAATAGTAAATGAGGTCTTTGTAATGCTATTAGATTTATTATCAAAAGATTGTGACCTAACATAATTGAAGCTGAAGTATTAACAGGATCTGCAGAAGGAGAGGTGGTTCTGATTCCAATAATTGATTTGACCACATCTGACATGGGCCTTCCATTTAAGTTAATTCAAAGACAGTTTCCTGTGATGTCAGCATTTGCGATGACCATAAATCACAAGGACAAATTCTAGACAGAGTAGGACTATTCCTATCTGAACATGTTTTCGCACGTGTTGCTTTCTCTCAAGTCTGAAGAGCTTGGGACGTTAAAATTATAAATACTTCATCACAAGGGGAATTAGTCAAACACTCAGAAAGTGTTTTTACTTTTAATGTGTACAGGGAGATATTGAATAAGTTTAATCAATTTATCAGTCGTCGTATCAGTGTTGTTTTTACATCATGTTTTTGTTTTTATATCTTGTTTTTATGTCATGTCTTCATTGTTACATCATGTAATGATTGTTTATTAATAAATTTATATATTATTTTCATATACATTTTACTAATTTTTTTTCATCTCTAACACTTCTATTATAGAATAGGGACAAATAGCAATACTAAAATATTTCCTCTAATTAATTCCTGGGGTCACTAGTTATTAAATAAAAAGCAACAAAAAAGGATTTGGTTCCCATAAAATAATTCTGTCAGTCCACTAGGAAAAGACTCTTTCTCATAGATTCTTATAGAGAGCTGTTTGCCATGTACTACCTAGTCATCTTTGTAGCAGCCCCTGTTTTTATGCCTTAAGATGAGCTGTTTGGCACAGAGTATAGCTCAAAAGATTTTTGTGAATTGCTGTTAAGGTCGAGAATATTATATAAACCACTGTTATTGTTTAGATTGGGATTGGTAGGCTTTTCCTGTAAAGGCCCAGATCATAAATATTTTTATCTTTGTGGGCTATACAGTCTCTGTTCCAACAGCTCACCTCTGCAGTTGTAGTTGAACACAGCCAAAGGCAATACTGGAAATTGTATAAATGAGGAAAAGGAATGAGTATGACCGTTTTTCAATGAAAGTTATCTTATAAAAATAGGCAGCAGACCTACAGGCTCTGCTTGAATTTGCTGACCCTTGATTTAGATTGTTGTTTTATATTTTATAACCAAAATATTATTTGAGAATCCTATAGCATCATCTTTTTGGGGGGTTGGACACATCTTTACATTTGAAATGAGAACCTTTTGGGAGATAGTAAGACAATACAATAACCATGTTATAAAGGAAAGTGTGATATAATCTTTATTCAGGTTTCTGTAGGGATATGTTATTTTCAGTTTGGTATGTAATTTAGCAACCAGAAGAAAAGGCTTTATTTAACTTGAAAACTTTTGAAGGCTGTTCTCAGTGTAATCATCATGCTACGGAGAAATCTTAATAGTAAATGAGGTCTTTGTATTTCATCTTTCGTTTATTTGAAAGACTAGGTGAGTAAATTGACAGTGGCTTTGGATTTAAATTTTTAAAGAGTTTAGGCATTACAGCTACTCTGTTTATGGTAGCATTTAAAATTGTATGTTTGAGTTTTCTGGTTTCTCTTATGTGAGGATGAAGAGGAAGCAGGCTTATTGGAGCTCCTAAAATCCCAGATTTGTGATAATGCTGCACTGTATGCACAAAAGTATGATGAAGAATTTCAACCGTACCTGCCTCGTTTTGTCACAGCCATCTGGAATTTACTAGTTACAACAGGTCAAGAGGTCAAATATGACTTGGTAAGATGATGTTGGAGAAAAATAATTAAGACATCCCCCTTCCAACTTCCCCAAGAAATAAATGGTTCAGTTTTGCTTTTAAAAATATGCTCACTTTTGTGTTTTATTCCAGTTGGTAAGTAATGCAATTCAATTTCTGGCTTCAGTTTGTGAGAGACCTCACTATAAGAATCTGTTTGAGGACCAGAACACGCTGACAAGTATCTGTGAAAAGGTTATTGTGCCTAACATGGAATTTAGAGGTAATTATAATGAAGTGTAAAGCTTTTTTAGGAGATGAAAAACTGTTTTTTAAAGGGTGTGCTAATATATGTTCAGTAAGTCTTTTCCCTCTTGATTATTATAACATTCTAATTTTTTTATTGCTAAATAAGACTTCTTGTAGATAATTTTATTGCCCATTTTGTAAACCATGACAAAGTGTAATGGGTATAAAAGGCCTTTGTGAAATGAATGCTGCTGTGATGAACTTCGTTGTATGCTGTGGGAGTTTTTTCACAGGAATTTTGAATGAAACTTTAACAATCCTGGTGTAGTGAGAAGAAAGTAAACTGTCCAGGATCTCAACTTAAGGAAATAATTTGCTTTTGTTTGATTTTAGTATTTCACCAAGGCAAATAACTGTTTTCCAACAGTTGACTTGAGATTAGAAGTGATTGATAACTTTTAAATAGAGTGAAAGCCCACTTTGTGCTTAAGGTTCAAATAATCCTGAGAGACTGATTGTATATAAAATGTCTTTTTCTAGTTGGGAAGAGCAAGTAGTAAATGTGGTAGGAATTGTGTTCTATATCAAAGCAGTCATTAGATCAGTGGTTTTCAATTATCTGGAACAAAATGAGGAAATAAAGGACAATATAATGTGAGATTTTCTTTTGTGTTTTTCTAAAACGATGTACTTATTTAAAGAACAGAGGTTTATTCTGATGTCCTACGTTTTCGGTGTTGAAATTATTTTTGTGAAATAATGGTGATCATAGTTATTAGCTTGTTGTTTTTTTAATGTCCTTATCTGGCAAAATAAAAAATTGGCACCCCTAGATTGATTTCTAACACTCATTTTTGAAAGTTGATGGTAAAGTCCAGTTATGGGGCTCTGTCACATTAGAACAAGTGAGCTGGTATCACGTCTGTGTGAATGATCCATTACCTAATCTTTCAAGGTAGCATTTGCTGCTCTAAGTAATGAGTAGTAATATATGAAGTAGTTATGTGTTGGGAAAGAACAGTTTGCTGGAATTCTACACACTTTCTGCATGCTCAGCTGTAAAAATATAGTGATTGCCATGTCTTTTGAGGGGTTGTCTTTTGAGCACAGAAATGTCATCTTCTTTGTAGCTGCTGATGAAGAAGCCTTTGAAGATAATTCTGAGGAATACATAAGAAGAGATTTGGAAGGATCCGGTATGTATTTTGGTTTTTAACAGTCTTGGCAAGCCAGTTTTAAAGTGGTTCTTTTTTTCTGTTAAATATGGAAAAGGGAGTTAAGACTAGTGTGTCATTTGAACTGGCTTTCGTCAGAGAACTATTTTCTTTAACTCCTACACCTTAAAAAGCAGCTGTTATATGAGCTGTATCAGTTAAATCATTTGTCTTCTCTTTTTATTTATTTTATTATTTTTTTTATTAAATTATTATCTTTGTACATATACCATTGCCCACCCCCTCCCATAGCTGCCCTCCCTCCCCATGTCCTCTCTTTTTTTTATGTACTTAGTAGAGTTTATCATACTACTATGATCTTTTTAGTTTTCATCCTCATTTTGTGTTTAAATTTTTGTGTGTGTGTGAAAACAATGTTCATTGTTCATTTGCTGATAGCTGTTAGCAGCTTTTTCATAAACATGATCAGTTGGTTGGTGGTTGTTTCTTATGATGTAATTCTCTTTGATTTTATAGATATTGATACTAGACGAAGGGCTGCTTGTGATTTAGTACGAGGATTATGCAAGTTTTTTGAGGGACCCGTGACCGGAATCTTCTCTGGCTATGTTAATTCCATGCTGCAGGAATATGCAAAAAATCCATCTGTCAATTGGAAGCACAAAGATGCAGCCATTTACCTAGTGACATCTTTGGCATCAAAAGCCCAGACACAGAAGGTGAATCTTTTCAATATAGCTTTCTTTCTATATCAGATGTGTTGGTGATCACAGAAGTAAAAGGGAAGTAATACATTTTTGATGAAGCATATTTCTCTTTGATAGGTGATTTATTAGTTCTGATTAGAATTCATGTGGTTTCCAAAGAGGACTTTATGTTGATGTATTAAGCACTTAAGTTTCTTATAGACCAAAATGCCACACTTGTTCCCTTAGCTGAGACTCAGTGTTTGTTGATTTAAGGAAATTTATTATATATTAAAAAAGCATTAAAAATATTTTGATTGATTGCAGAGAAGAAGGGAGAGGGGGAGAGAGAGAGAAACATCAAAGAAAGAGCAAATCATTGATCAGCTGCCTCCTGCACACCCCACACTGAGGATCAAGCCCACAACCTGGGCATGTGACCTGACCAGGAATTGAACCATGACTTCTGGTTCATAGGTCAGTTCTCAACCAGAGTTACCCTTGCTGAGCTAGTCTTGTTTTGTTTTTAAGCAGTTTGTGTTTTGAAGTTTTTATCCCCCCCCCTTCTTTTTTTTTTTTTTTTTTTTTTAAATATCCTCACCTGAGGACATATTTCCATTGATTTTTTTCTGTTTCTTTTAGAGGGTAGAAGGGAGGTGGAGAGACAGACAGGGAGAAATATTGAGGTGACAGAGAGACAACGAGTGGTTGCCTCCTGTGTCTGTCCAAACCGGGCTGGGGTTCATGCCTGCAGTTGAGGTATGTGCTCTTGACCTGAATTGAACTCGGGACCCTTCTGTCCGCTGACGACACTATTCACTGAGCCAAGTTAGCCAGGGCTCATTTCCATTTTTTAACCAGGTTTTCTAAAGTTATCTAAATGTCCAATGTGGTAGATATATACAGGTATTTCATGTTATTTTACCCTGTTACAAATTTGTTTTTCAGCATGGAATTACACAAGCAAATGAGCTTGTAAACCTGACGGAGTTCTTTGTGAATCACATTCTCCCCGATTTAAAATCAGCAAATGGTGAGTTGTGTAAAAATTATTTATACAACTGAACAACACCATACCTGCAATATTTATTTGCAATTTTTAAAAATTGATTTGGGACAGAGAAAAAAGACCAACTTTTTTTTTTTTTTAATATATTTTATTGATTTTATACAGAGAGGAAGGGAGAGAGATAGTTAGAAACATCGATGAGAGAGAGTCATTGATCAGCTGCCTCTTGCACACCCCCCACTGGGGATATGCCCGCAACCAAGGTACATGCCCTTGACCGGAATCAAACCCGGGACCCTTCAGACCCAAGCCGGTCCCGGAAACACCAACTTCTTGTTCCACTTATTTATGCATTCATTGGTAGCTTCTTTATGTGCCTTTACTAGGTATTGGACCTGCAACCTTGGCATAGTGGGATAACTTTCTAATCAACTTGAACTATCAAAATGGCAAAAGTCATAATAGGGGCTCTATATCACCATAATACTCCAAACATTGGCTCTTGTGCTCCTTGCAGGTGTTTTTTTTATTGAATAAAATCTCAAATGACCCTCTAGATTTTGCTCAGGTGAAATTAACTGTATATAAAGAAAATATTGGCTTATGGAGAAGGAAAATAGGAATAAGTAAGATTGTATCTTAGCTTTTTATTATCCTGTTATAAAGTCTAGGAATTATACTTCAGTGTTCTTCTCATTTGAAAAACTCTTAAAAATCAAAGTAAATTTAAAGTATATGAAATTAATAAATATTACGGATAATTTCTTATGTTGATGAAATTATACTTATCAAGATACATAGATATTCCCTTTTTGAAAACTTTTTGTATGGAAATTTTAAATACATTTAAAGGTAGGAAGAGGCTTATAATGAACTTCCATATTAATATTATCTGTTTTAAGAATTTTAACAATTGACTAGTATTCTCTCCCTTTTACTAATTATTTTCCCACCACTAGAGCAATTTAAAGTAAATTTCAGGTAGAGAAACATGCTCTTGATTTACAATAGCTTCAATTCTGGGAAGAAGATGGTAGCTATATGGTCACTAGTTATGGTCCCAAATCATGTTTATTCAGTTGCGTAAGTAATACATGTTAATTTGTAATGAAACTTAAAGGGGAAAATTAAATTATTTTATTATCTTACCAGAACTAATAGCTACATAGTAGGTTAGTATAGAGTTAACTAAGCTTGAATTACTTGACAACTTGGTTAACAAATCATGTTTTAAAAATCTGATAATGTTTTCACCAGTTTGGGAAAAGATAGTCCTTAGCATTCTAATAACTATGTTTTTTTTTTTAATAGTGAATGAATTTCCTGTCCTTAAAGCTGATGGTATAAAATACATTATGATTTTTAGGAATCAAGTAAGTTGCTATTCACTTATATTATGTACCAGTTAATCCTTTGGGCTGGGGCAAGAATTTGTCATAGTTACACTTTGTTTCATTTCATTAGAACATATGCCATGTCTGATTGATGACTTTTAGTAATGGTTGAGTGATCAGTGGATTCAAGTGAAGAGAAACTTTCCACCACTGACTTATGTTTTGAGATACATTTCCCTTAAATGTCTCCACTTAAAAATGTACACTTAAATGGTTTTTAATATATTCATTCTTTTGTTCAACCACCACCATGTTCTCATAGATAGTTACCAATTTGTTTGGGAAGAGCAGGATAAATGTTTGTTGGTTTTCCCTCTTTATCAATTTTTAGAATAATGAGACAGTGCCTTACCAACCTCCAAAGGTGTGACAAATGAGGGTATTTTGATGCCCTAGTCCTATGGTCGGCAAACTGTGGCTCTTAAGCCACATGTGGCTCTTTGGCCCCTTGAGAGTGGCTCTTCCACAAAATACCATGGCCTGGGCGAGTCTATTTTGAAGAAGTGGCATTGGAAGAAGTTTAAGTTTAAAAAATTTGGTCCTTTTACAAATAAGTTTGCCGACCACTGCATCTTTGGCCAGTGGGGACCATTATAGTTCCTGTGCCCTCTTGACATATACTTAATAGCATTTAATGGCCTCTTTCATACATGACAAAATATTCCAGGCTCATTTGGTACATTTCCTGCTACAGATCTTAGTTAGGTGCCTCTTGAAGTTGATGCGAAATGTCATTTGAAAGACAGTAATCTAAGTGCTAGTGATACTGCTAATGAATTACCATTCGTTTTAGGCTTTTTCACAGGAGAGAGTAAGGAAATAATACCAGAGTTATTATTACTAAAGTAATACTGCTGAATGCAGTTTGATTTCTTTGGTTTTTATATGTATTTAAAAAATACTGTCTTTAAAGCAACTTGAAATTATTCTTTGTGCGTTTTTGCCATAAACTTGATAAACAATTAGGTTCATTTCATTGTGTGGTTTTGTTTTTATTTTGGGTGGTCATGCCTCTGAAGTAGGACAGTCGGTACATTCAAAAAGGTTTTGCTTTCGTCCCTGTTCCTTTCCTCTTCTAGTGGTTAACCAGGTTTTTTCTTACCGAGTTTTTGTTTGATTTATTTATTTGTTTATATTTGTTTATTTAGATATTGTTAATCCTCACCTGGGGATATTTTTTCCCCTCCATTAATTTTATATTGATTTCAGAGAGGAAGGGAGAGGGAGAGAGAGATAGAAACATCAATGATGAGACAATTATTGATTGGCTGCTCCTGCATGCCCTCACTGGGGATCAAGCTGGCAACCTGGGTATGTGCCCTGACCGGGAATCAAACTGATCTCCTGGTTCATAGGTCGACACTCAACCACTGAGTCATGCCCACCAGCCTCCCCATTGTTGTTGTTGTTTAAATATGGAATACTTCACAGATTTGCGTGTCATCCCTGCACAGGGACCATGCTAATCTCTGTATTGTTCCGATTTTAGTATATGTGCTGCTGAAGCGAGCATTCCCCATTGATGTTTAAAACGAGTGGAAGGGGGGGGAGAGACAGACACACACATCAGAGTGAGAGACACATTCAGCAAGTCCTTTTCTTTTCGTTTTTTTTTTACTTAAAGATAGCATCGTTGAGTTAGAGCATGCATATTATTGTATTTTTCAGGTACCAAAAGAACAGCTTTTGATTTCTGTTCCTCTCTTGATTAATTATCTTCAAGCTGAAAGTATTGTTGTTCATACTTACGCAGCACATGCTCTTGAGAGGCTGTTCACTATGAGGGGGCCTAACCATGCCACTCTGTAAGTATTGGCTTCTAAGCAATTTATATTTCTTCACTTGGGGTGGGGTGGGTCAGAGATATCTCTGAATGTATTCAAAATTTCACTGAGAGCCAAAAAAATAAATGTATACTTTTTACTCATTCATACTGTCTCAATCCAGAAGGATCTGAGACAGCAATGCAGAATAGATATATTATGGTAATCAAGTTGAATAGTGGAAGTTGCAGCAAAGAAAAGTAACTGGGGTGCATTTAATAAACAGAAACGTGTGTCAGGATCCTGTACAGTAGTTAACTCTTGATTTTATGTGTAGTCTCCTAGCAACCAAGTGAAAGAGGGAAACTTGATGAGTTAAAATTTCCACAATGTCCATGAGTTTAAACAAACAGTTACTCAGAAGGCATCTCAGGAGTGGGCTTTCATGGAGGGAGTCTGTGTAGTGTGTTCTTAGCAGCATCATGTAGTGTAGTTACTTTTAGCTGCTGTGTTCACTCTGGCTGAGATGACACAGCTGAGTGAAAAGAATTTTCTGTGGTCAAAATAGTAGCTTTTCTGGCCCAATCCAAGGATAAAATATAGAACAGCAGCATGTCTTTGAGGCCATTCTTCAACAATGTTATTTCTTAAACTGAACTGTGGTTAAGAGATGGAAAACAATTTTAGGTTTTCTTCATTAAGAACTTGAAATGCAGATATTCTCAGATTAAGCCAGGGTTGAAAGATTTCTTTGTGAGTCAAGCCAGTATCTCTTCATTACTGTAATTTATGCAAAAAACAGTTCTGAATCAGCTCCACCTCCAGGAAGAATAGGTGACAGTTCCCCGAGGGTCTGAGTCCTGTCCTTGATGGTGATATGAACCACGAATGACCTTAACAGCTTCAGATGATGTTGGGTTTGCTTGGGTTTTGGCTCGTTTAACTGATTGATATCAGATGTGCGTTAGGAATTTAACATGAGCAAATATAAAAATTTATTTTCCTAAGCTGTCTGCCGATTGTCAGTGGTGGGAGATGGCTCACTTTTATGCCAAGAAGTGTGATGTAGTAGTTGCCAAGGATAATCCACAGTGACAAGCTCAAGAATTGGTAGTGACTGAAAGCTGTTTTTTCATCTATAGCTTTACAGCTGCAGAAATCGCACCGTTTGTTGAGATTCTGCTAACAAACCTTTTCAAAGCTCTCACACTTCCTGGCTCTTCAGAAAATGAATATATTATGAAAGGTAGGCCGTTTCCCTGGTGTATAGACTATAAGTATCTAATTTCTGATTATAAGGGTAAATAGTGAGTTGTACACTGTTAGCCAAGAATTAGCTAGGTTTAGGTATTTAAAAATAAAGAATATTGTTTTATTTGCTATTTCCAGGAAAAATCTTTACCTTAATTTGATAGAGAATTCTAATTAAAGAAAAAGTAGCAAACTCCTTTTTTCCCTTTCCTAGATTGCTTTTTTAAAAATTATTTATTTCAGAGAGGGAGAGTTAGAAACATCAATGATGAGAATCATTGATCTGCTGCCTACTGCACGCCTCCTACTGGGGATTGAGCCCGCAACCTGGGCTGTGCCCTTGGTTGGAATTGAACCTGGGACTTCAGTCCTCAGGCAGACTATCCTCTGAGCCAAACCAGGGCTAGATTGATTTTCTTGAGGGCAAAGTTAGATCAAACAACATTCAGTGATGCACGCTGTGTATTCTGGGTCTTGATGTGACACCTGACTGCACTTGGTACCCCCCACACAGGTACTGCCTTCATAGACATACTGCCGAGGACACAGGCAGCTGTAACCACCTGCCAGGTTGTCCATTATGAGAGTGTCTTGTTGACAGCTCTGACTTCAGGGGCAGTCATAGTCTTATTCACTGTTGGATTCCAAGAGACTAGCACAGAGTCAGATTCATAGGAAATGTTTTTCAAAGAAACTGATGCCTGCCCTGGGTAAGGACCCCTGGCGTGTGTGCACATTTGTACATGTGTTTATATGTGTGTGTTTTTAGCACTGGACTTGTCCCACAATGATAGGTAATGACTGCTGGCCTTTGTTGCTGTGTTCTTTGGTTTTGCAAGAGCACCCAGGAAATACTGAGCTATGAGGGAATGAAAGGTTTGTGTGTCAGCCCACAGGAGCGACACTGGTCCTTCCTCTAACCCTAGTAACCTAACCGGGGACAGGCTTTCTCTAGGAAATGGGTTAAGCCGAGGTGAGGGATCGCTAGCAGTTAGCTAGTAGGAGGGTGAGACCTTGGCTTGGGTAGAGGAAACATCTTTGCAAAGTTTAGGAGGCAAGGGATTATAATTTTCTATCCTGTGTGTCTGGCATATAGTAGGTGCTCTACTTAGGGAACATTTGTTTATGCAAAAATAGCTAACATACATTTTTAGCTTAATGTATTTATCTCCCATGATAAATGTTTTTAGGCATCTTATTTTTTTTAAATATATATTTTATTGATTTTATACAGAGAGGAAGGGAGAGATAGAGAGTTAGAAACATTGATGAGAGAGAGTCATCGATCAGCTGCCTCTTGCACACCCCCTACTGGGGATCTGCCTGCAACCAAGGTACGTGCCCTTGACCAGAATCGAACCCGGGACCCTTCAGTCTCCAAGCCGACGCTCTATCCATTGAGCCAAACCGGTCCTGGCATGTTTTTAGTCATCTTAATGAGCAATGTATTTGCAATATATAGCTTCATATGTATATTCAGATTTTTATGCTCCTAATCTCTCTTTTAGAGGGATGAGCAGGTGCAATCATGTTTCCAATAGGCCAGGACTAAATGCTTTCTGCCACTAATTTCTAAGTGAGAGAAACTTGAAACACTGATACTACTTTGTTCTTTTCTTTGTACCTTTAGTCACTTCATTATTTTTTTATTGTCCCTTTTTTAAAATTAAGCCTTATGCCCTCTGGAAATACTCAATATTTCCCAGCTAACTTGTTGCCAGTCCCTGGCCTAATTTTAAAAGGGAAGTTTAGATTTTAAATATAGAGAGCTATCTGGGCTTTTTCTAAGGATCTTAAAATGTCAGATGATGAATTTCCCAACCACTATTTTGTTTTGAAGTTTAAACTGTTTTTTCTGTTTTTATATTTTACAGCTATCATGAGAAGTTTTTCCCTCCTACAAGAAGCCATAATCCCTTATATCCCTACTCTCATCACTCAGCTTACCCAGAAGCTGTTAGCTGTTAGTAAGGTAACAGGACCACTTCTGAAAGTACAGCCTTTTTTTTAAACTCATTTGGTATATACTGTTTGATCATTCGTATTCCCTGGCAATAGATCAGACTTAAGGAAAAGGTCTTTGAATTCTTCTTGACCCAACTGTTAAAGTGCATTTCTGATAGTGTGGGGATGACATTAGATTGCAGATGTGGCAGCACTCACCTTTAAGTGTAGGCTCAATAACTTTAAAACGTTTTTATTCTCATTTAAAAAGTAACATGTTAAAGAAAATTGAGAAAGTATAATCTGAAACCTTAGGAAAGTAAGCTTTTACAGGTGGGCACAAAAGAGGCTATTAACTCCTTCTTTGATCAGAAATTTTACAGATATTTGATTCATTCTTATTCCTAATAATTTGATGAAAAAGAAATTTATAGGAAGTATTAGAGAGGTTTTGGAGAATAGTGATGATTTTTTTAAAAATATTTTTTTAATTGATTTTTTACAGAGAGGAAGGGAAAGGGATAGAGAGTTAGAAACATCAATGAGAGGGACACCAATTCAGCTGCCTCCTGCACACCTCCCACTGGGGATGTGCCCACATTCATCATACATGCCCTTGACCAGAATCGAACCCAGGACCTTTCAGTCCGCAGGCCGACGCTCTATCCACTGAGCCAAACCGGTTAGGGCAGAATAGTGATGATTTTTTTCACTGAGGTCTGGGTAAGGGTTTTGGATTACTTTGGGCCTTGGGGAATTTGGAGGAGAGAAGTAGGGTCCATCCTTTGCGAGCCCCTGCTTCCTTCACACATCTTCTGAGGTCATCAGCTTTATGTAGTAGCCTTCTGAGAAAACTGCTATTATGAAGGGTTATCACTGATACAGGTATCAAAGGAGGTTAAGGTTTGTCTAAGGTTCCACACCATTGGCAGATCCAGGACTTAATGTCCCTGCTCATTTCTTCTGCCATTACTTAGGAAAGTTCTAACAGCCCAGGCAGCTGAGGCTTTTGTTGTCACCTCCCTCTGACTCTGAAGTACTTTTTAGTAATAGTATTTAAAAAAAAATAATCCCAACAGATATTAGCAAGTATTGTTTTTTTCTGAATTTTAAAGTGAATGTAAAATTTTAACATATATGCAGGCTTTTTAGTGTATTTGATACTTTTTCTTAATACTGACTTTTAAAAAGATGGCATCTCTCTTGTAATGTGTTTTAGAAAGTTAAGTGTGTTTTCTTCTAAATGTCATTTAATATAGTCACTTGGATTATTAGAAAAATAAGCCTTTTTTTTTTTTTTCCTTTCAGAACCCAAGCAAACCTCATTTTAATCACTATATGTTTGAAGCAATATGTTTATCCATAAGAATAACGTGCAAAGCCAATCCTGCTGCTGTTGTAAATTTTGAAGAGGCTTTGTTTCTGGTGTTTACTGAAATTTTACAGAATGATGTACAAGGTAAGTTAAAGGGAGTTGTTTTCTTCTTAATTGCATAAAATTATGAAAGTGGTTATAAACACAGTATTCCTAACAATATCAGCCTTTTGTGTCAGAGCCATTGATTGTGAAACTGACAGCTGTTATTTTCCTCAACAGAGTTTATTCCATATGTCTTTCAAGTGATGTCTTTGCTTCTGGAAACACACAAAAATGATATTCCGTCTTCCTATATGGCCTTATTTCCTCATCTCCTCCAGCCAGTGCTTTGGGAAAGGACAGGAAATATCCCTGCTCTAGTGAGGCTTCTCCAAGCGTTCCTAGAACGCGGGTCAAGTACCATAGCAAATGCTGCAGCTGACAAAATAGTGAGTCAGATTTATTTTGATGTAAATGTAATTTCCTAAGATAGCTGAGAGAGACTAGGGATGGCAGACTTTAAAAAATTATTTGCTTAAATTTAGTAAAAAAGGAAGTAATTAGTTAGGAAATATTAATGTATATTTTATTAGAATTAGATAGCCTTCAGTTATTGTCATGGTGGAAAATAAAAAAATAATAGTCAAATAGGTTAAGGTTAATTTCAAGAATGTAAAACTAAGGGCTTGTTGAAGTGGGATTATTTTTTTCTACACTTTAGACATAGCAACTAATGTGAAAATGCAAATTAGATTATTACAATGTGCTCTCTTCCAAGATGTATCACCTGCTTAACTTTTAGAATAATTAAGCCTTACCCCTTGAACTAATTGTTATTTGATCTGTTTTGTTGTAGCCTGGATTATTAGGTGTTTTTCAGAAGCTCATTGCATCCAAAGCCAATGACCACCAAGGTTTTTATCTTCTAAACAGTATAATAGAGCACATGCCTCCGTGAGTATGAAATATAATCTCTTCATTAGACTAGATTCTGTTAGGTACTCAGAAAAATGCTGCATTTACATGGTTGTTTTCATTTCTTTCTTTAGTGAGTCAGTTGACCAGTACAGGAAGCAAATCTTCATTTTATTATTCCAGAGACTTCAAAATTCCAAAACAACAAAGTTTATCAAGAGTAAGTGAAATAATTTCAGTGTTCCTGCAGAAATAATGAAGGAAAGTAGCTTAAGACCCTTAGACGTTATGGTGTGTTTTTTTTTTCCTTAATTTTTATTGTTCATATTAATACAAATGTCCCTTCCCCCCCCCCTTTCCACCCCACCCTCTGCCCTTTCCCCACCCCCCATTGTCCTCATCCATAGGTGCACAGTTTATGTTCAGTCTCTTCCCACATCCCCCTCTCCCCTTTTCCCCAAGAATCATCAGTTCACTCCCCTTCCATACCTCTGATTCTATTATATTCAACAGTTAATATTGTTCATCAGATTTTTTTTTTAATTTCCTTAGTTTTTAGATTCACTTGTTGATAGTTACGTATTTGTTGTTCATAATGTTTATCTTTATTTACTTTCTCTTCTGAAAGAACCCCCTTCAGCAATTCATATAATTCTGGTTTGGTGGTGATGAACTCCTTTAGCTTTTTTTTATTAGTGAAGCTCTTTATCTGACCTTCGATTCTGAGTGATAGCTTTGCTGGATAGATTCTCTTTGGCTGTAGGTTCTTACTATTCATCACCTTGAATATTTCTTGCCATTCCCGTCTGGCCTGCATGGTTTCTGTTGAGAAGTCAGCTGACAATCGTATAGGTGCTCCTTTATAGGTAACTATCTGCCTAGCTCTTGCTGCTTTTAATATTCTCTCTTTGTCTTTTGCTCTTGGAATCTTAATTATGATTTGTCTTGGTGTGGTCCTCTTTGGATTCCTTTTATTTGGAGTTCTGTGTGCTTCCTGGACTTGTAAGTCCAATTCTTTCCCCAGGTGGGGGAAGTTTTCTGTCACTATTTCTTTCAATATGTTTTCGATATCTTGCTCTCTCTCATCTTCTAGGACCCCCATAATTCTGATGTTGGATCGTTTGAAGTTGTCCCAGAGGTTTCTTACATCATCTTCAATTTTCTGGATTCTCTTGCCTTCTAGCGACTGCAGAGGAGTATCTTCTGGCTCTTTATGTTCCAAATCTTTGACTTGATTCTCAATTTTCTGGATTCTCTGCCTTCTAGCTTCTGCGGAGGAGTATCTTCTGGCTCTTTATGTTCCAAATCTTTGACTTGATTCTTGCGATCTTCTATTCTGTTTTTAGGACTCTGTATAATAGTTTTTATTTCAGACAATGTATTCTTTATTTCTTGTTGATCCCTTTTCATATCCTCATAAGTCTCATTTATTTTATCGGCCTTTTCTAGGAAACTCTTGAAAAACCTTATAAGTGTGGTTTTGAACTCTATATCCAGTCGCTTTTTGTCCTCCATTTCTTTCATTTGTGATCTATTTGGTTTAGGCATTTTTGCAGGCAGCTTTCCTGATGGGGCGGGGTTTCAGGGTGGAGCCTACAGCTTTGGCTTTTGTCAGCCTCGCCCTATGCAGTTCCTGAGACTCAGGGTCCTTCAGTGCTCGCTGCAAGCTCCTCTGAGAGAAAGGCGCCCTCGATTTTCGCCTGCTACCAAACAGTCTAGTCTCTCCCCCAATGGGCCCGAAAATGGGGTTCAGTTCAGTTGGAAGTGGAGTTGGAGGTGGCGTTCAGAGCAGACTGGCGCCCCTGTCTCCTTCCCGCCAGGCAATCCCGCGGCACAGCCGACCGTCCCTTCTCTGCGCGGCGCCACTGCGACCTCCTTTCGCCTCTTCCCCGGGGTTCCGCCTTTCAGCCCGGCTCCCTCTGTGTGAGCCTGGGTCCCTGGGGTCTGGCCTAGAACTGGGGTTCAGAGCAGTCAGAATGGGGGCCAGCACAGTCGGAGTTTTATCTCCTTTCTGCTAGGGAACGCCCGCCAGGCACTCCGCCTCCCTCCTCTCCGGCTCCGTCCTCTCCGCGCGCCGCGTGTCTCCGTACCTTAGGCTTTTCCAGCTCCTCCGCGCTTCCTTCTGGTTTTCTCCTTGCTTCTTGTTGTAGAATTTCCAGTCAGTCAACTTTCCTGTAGTTCTGGGTGATGTCCATTTTATATTTTAGTTGTGTTTTGTTGAAATGGTTGTGTGCGGCGCGGCTAGGTGCCTACCCGAGCAGCCATCTTGGATTCCTTTCTTAGACGTTATGGTTACATACCGTTTTTATCAGTTATAAATGTTACATATAAAATATTTTAAAATGTTCGCATTTCTTAAACACTAAATCATTTTCAAATATATTGCGTTCCAAACGTTAGTTTATAAATTTAAATATAAAAATATTTTAAATAGAAATGACGAAACAATATAAATCAGAGACTACATGTAGACATTTTTGCTTGTACAATAAAGGCAGAAATTCTGTAAAATTACATTAAAGGGGGGGAGTATTGATGCTAAAGTTAGTCATTGGGTGTCTTTTTTAATGATAAATATTTCAGCTGGTAAACTACTAAATCACTTGTGTAGTGCAGTGGGTCCTATGTATTGATAAGTCTGCATCTCCTTTCAACAGGTTTCTTAGTCTTTATTAATTTGTATTGCATAAAATATGGGGCGCTGGCATTACAAGAAATATTTGATGGAATACAACCAAAGTAAGTTTGTTTTTATTATTATATTTTAGTTAGAAACATCAATTAGTTGTTCCACTTATTCATGTATTCATTGGTCGATTCTTGTATGTACCATGCCTGGGGATTGAACCTGCATATCAGGACTGTTCTCTAACAGACTGACCAGGGCTGTATTTTATTTTTAAAAGCAGAAAGTTGGGACTTTTTTTTTTTAAAGAATAAACCAATATCTATTTTATAAATAATTTCAGAGTTCTTGATGCAGTGATTCTGTGTGGTTTTCAAATGCTCTTGGGGTATTAAGTCATAAATAAGAACATACCTGTAAACATTTTCCTAATTCTCCAAGTTATTCCCTACTCTAGCGTTGTCCAAAGCCAATGTTCAGTTTGATGATCAGTGTTTTCTCCAAGAGCCTTTAACATGATTTTTCAAAAGAAAAGTTTGGATCACTAACACTGCTTTAGTGTATATGCAAAGAATGTTGGGCAACATTACCCATTTAGTAGGGAAAGAAGAATGTAAAGTAATTGATGGGGAAAAGAATGGGAAAGGGGAAAAAAACTCCATTTAGATTGCTGTATCTGTGAGTGTATCAAAAACCATTCAAAATTGAATAAAATATAAAAAAAGACCAGGAAATACGCTTTCTGGTAGTAAAGGATTGTGAGATAGTCAACAGTTCTTGCTCTGCTAATGGGTGCTTAAATTGGCATGATCTTTCCAGAAAACAATGAACATGTACCCTTTCTATAAAGCATTAAAATGTCTATACTCTTTGATACTATTTCTGCTTCAAAGGATTCATTATTAATATAATCGGAGACATTTGCATCATTTATAATAGAATCATGGGAATCTTCTAGGATGTTTGCAACAACATGGAATGATTGGCCAAAATCATTTTAGTACAGCCATTAACATCTACGTAGAAAGTTGGGAAGTTTATAATCCAAAAATGTGAAAACTATTGCTGTGGGTGATTCTTTTTTCTAATTTCTTTTTTTAAAAAGATTTATTGAGGATTTTTTAAATAAAAACATACAAGACCACCAATGGCTGTGAAGACTTGTGAAGACAGCGAAGGCTTGCATGTTCACAAGAGATGGTGGCATGGCCACGGGGCCAGTTTGCTGTTTTGTCATCTCTTAGTCTCTTCCCTTTGATGCAACCTGTTATTTTGAATTTGTTTCTATTTATGAAGGGTCACTAAGTATAAATAACACATGTTTAACATAATTATACTCATCATCCAATTTAATATTGACTGGGTTTATTTTGTTTTAATTGACAGAATGTTTGGCATGGTTTTGGAAAAAATTATTATTCCTGAAATTCAGAAAGTATCTGGAAATGTAGAGAAAAAGATTTGTGCGGTTGGCATAACCAAACTACTAACAGAATGTCCCCCAATGATGGACACTGAGTATACAAAGCTATGGCAAGTACTCCATTCTCAAGTTCTTAGAAATTACAGTTTCCTTTCCTGTGACTGCAAAACCGACCAGGCTTACTTTCTTGAGGGTCAAGAGAATTTGGTTCTGATTTTAGCTTTTCCACTAGCAACCATCAAGTCCAAGACATGACTTGTGGATCCTTCTGGGCCTAAGATGATCTTATTTCCTGATGAATATTTTGTGGGGTGAGGGAAGAAATTCATGGACCTCTTGAGAGTTTGGTAAAAGTTCCTGTTCTCGATGACCTTTAACACTATTTTATGATAGGTGCCCACGTAAACTGGCCTCCATCTTAAGAGACACTGAATATGCCAAAACCGGTTTGGCTCAGTGGTAGAGCATTGATCTGCGGACTGAAAGATCCCAGGTTTAATTCCGGTCAGGGGCATGTGCGTTGGTTGCCAGCACATCCCCTGTAGGGGGTGGGCAAGAGGCAGCTGGTCGATGTTCCTCTCTCATTGACGTTTCTAGCTCTCCCTCTCTCCCTTCCTCTCTGTAAAAAATCAATTAAAAAAAAAAAAAGACACTGAATAGGTTAGCATGTGTGTGCTCAATGTCCAACAGACCTTGCTTTACTTGACCTCTTGCCTCTCCTTTTCTTAACGGTATCCCTTGGCCAGCTAGCCCTTTCATAAAGTGACAACTTGAGGCTATTCCTTCCAGCTTCTAGCATTGAATCTCCTTCATTTGGCTTGGGTCACATAGCTAGCTTGAGATCTCGGGGGATGGAATAGTTTTCAGGAGAGAAATTGGGGTGCTCTGGCCAAAAGAAAAATGGTTTCTGGATAGGCATAAGCACTCATGTCCATCTTTACTTCATTGATCCCTTGCTATTCTTGAGACTGAGTCTATAATTTGTGTTTTTAAGGAATTGCTGTGTATTAACCTTTTATCTTGTTTTCTTCAATCCAGGACTCCTTTACTGCAGTCTCTGATTGGCCTTTTTGAGTTACCTGAGGATGATTCCATTCCTGATGAAGAACATTTTATTGATATAGAAGATACACCAGGATACCAGACTGCCTTCTCACAGTTGGCATTTGCTGGGAAAAAAGAGCACGATCCCGTAGGGCAAATGGTGACCAACCCCAAGATTCACCTGGCACAGTCACTTCACAAACTGTCTACTGCCTGTCCAGGAAGAGTAAGTACCAAGTATCTTTGTTATCAAAGGATGCTGTGATCAGTAGGACACCTTTATGGGAAGATAAGAGGGTAATAGTTGTTCTGGTGCCTGTTAGAGTTGGTCAGCATAATCAAACATCTTATTTACATATAGTCGAGGCTTATTGTTCTTTAAAATTATGGGCTACAAAAGTATTTTAAGCAAATCATTGTAGGGGCAAATCTCAGGGATGAAGCTCTTTGATTAGAAGTTTATTTCCATCCTGCTGTGACTTGGTTGGAGTGCACCAAAAGAGCCAGGGTTTCAGGACATATCCCCACGTTGTGCATTTGACCCAAGGTTGGGGTGTGTACCAGGAGGGAACGAATCAATGTCTCTCTCTCTAAAATAAAACTATTTATTTCCAAGATTGAGCAGACATTTATTGGTTTTATATGGATACGCATAAACTAAATAATGGAATATAGAGCAAACCTATTAATGGCTATTCTGTTCCATTAGCCGTTGCCTTTTGCAGTCTTTTTAAAAAATTTATCTTCAGAGAGGAAGGGAGGAGAGAGCGATAGAAACATCAATGATGAGAGAGAGCCATCGATCAGCTGTCTCCTGCACACCCCCTTTTGGGGATCAAGCCTGTTACCTGGGTATGTGCCCTTGGCTGGAATTGAACCTGGGACCCTTCAATACTCAGGCTGATGCTCTATTCACTGAGCGAAACCATCTAGGGTGCCTCTTAAGATATGTTTATATTTTTTATTTTTGTTAGGGAAAACAAAATACCAAGAAATAGTATGCTGACCTTCAGTTATTATAATCTTGTTTCTTGAGGTCCCCCACCCCCCTTGCTAGAGAATTTCAAGAGCCTCAGGCAGCATGTCATTTCACCCATATGTATTTCATTATGCGTCACTAATTCATAAAGCCTTTCTTTTTAAAACATCATCACATTGCCTCTACCACAGTGAACAATAGTAGTAATTCCCCTTTTATGCCTTAAAAAAATGAAATGGGTCTAAAAAGTTAAAAGTGATTGAGTTACTTGGGCATGAATTCCTTCAATAATCATGATGTGCGAAACTGGTTTGGCTCAGTGAATAGATAGATCGTTGGTCTGCAGACCAAAGGGTCCCAGGTTCAATTCTGGTCAAGGGCATGTACCTTGGTTGCGGGCACATCCCCAGTAGGGGGTGTGCAAGAGGCAGCTGATCGATGTTTCTAACTCTATCCCTCTCCCTTCCCCTCTGTGAAAAATCAATAAAGTATATATTTTTTAAATAGTCATGATGGACTGCTCTTCCCAGAGCTGTGGCAGTCTCTTGTAGAGATGGGGTTTGTGTGGGTATGGTATGATCTCCAATCGCTCCTTTGTGCGTTTTCTGACTCTTGTAGGTTCCATCAATGGTGAGCACCAGTCTCAATGCAGAAGCCCTCCAGTATCTCCAAGGGTACCTTCAGGCAGCCAGTGTGACCCTGCTTTGAACTATGATTTGGCTAATAAAAGCCCAGGATGATCTTATGGGGAAAACTGGGAGACTTCTGAGCACAACTGCATAAAAACAAAGCAAGTTTTCCTTGTCACAGATTCCATCTTGTAAAAAATATTAAATGTTGTTTTATTCAACCTTGAGCAAATTAGGTGGTTTGTGTGATAAATAATTTAAGTGGATGACTTTTCCAGTTTGCAGCTTCAAGGGCCAAGTGTTAATAGTTCAGTATAAGACACTGATTTGAGCATTTGCACTGTTGGATTAAGTTTAGAATTTTGACGGACACTGACTGTCGAAACTATTCTTTTTCTTTTACTAAATCCTTTTGTTTTGAGGTTGATGCCAATTTGTGTTTTTCTTGTCCTTTGAATTTTTGTTTCCTTGAGCCTTTATTTGACAATGTAAGTAATCACTTGTGTGACTTGCCAAAAAGTGCACATTTCATAGTTTAAATCTGTAATCGGCAATTTGAAAAAAAACCTAAATTTAATGTATCTAAGAACCTCTTAAGTATAGGTTTTTGGTGCTGATACTTTTATAATGAAGAATTTCTTTAAATTTTTCTTTTTTCCTCTCTTGGACTCCATAGAAATTATTTCTAAGTAATTCACTCACAATATTTGTCTTTTTACATTTTGAACATTAATAGCCTTCTTTGGGGTTGCTGCATGGTATGTGTGGTGGGGAAAAGCAGCCATGAACTACATGAATTCATTTACCTGTTTCTGGCTTTCCTTCCTTACAAACTGGATGATGTGAGAGAGGAACTTGGTAATGGGGAGGCAATGTCTGTATGAAAAAAGCCACAATAGACAGGTCACGGCAAAAGACTCTTGGACCTGAAGAGACCTTATTGGAGAGTGGGAAACATGACAAGAGAGAGGCTTATTTACCTTGCACCGGGAGCATGTCCATCTGCTTGCATTAGTCAGCCCTGTGCATCTGGAGAGGAGGTGACTGCTGTTGTGAGGAACCTCGGTTTTGCAGTGACTACCAGCTGAGAAGACACCTGACTTGTCTCCAGTGGGCCTGCAGGGGAAGAAGGGAGCCCAACGCCCACCAGGTCCTGCCCCTCCCAGGCAGAGCAGCCTAGGAGCCCACACCTGAGGTCCAAAGTTAGGCTGGAACCAACGCTACACGGAGAGCATCCTTGTTGAGACTACAGATCTCAGGATAGAACGACGGAAGAAATCTCTGAGATAGTGTCTGCTGAGCACCCTGGCCAGTCAGTGAGGCTCCTAAACCTTTCTAAGGAGGACTTGCAGTCAAAACGGTGAAGAGGGTAATCTGTGCTCACCTTCTTCCACAACCACATCCAAATTACAACTCAATTACACAACCATCCACCTGAAGAATAAAAGTCCCCTCAAGATATGAAGAAACTGCCAAAACCAGTTTGGCTCAGTGGTAGAGCATCGGTCTGTGGACTGAAAGGTCTCAGGTTCGATTCCGGTCAAGGGCATGTACATTGGTTGCGGGCACATCCCGGGTAGGGGGTGTGCAAGAGGCAGCTGGTCGATGTTTCTCTCTCATCGACATTTCTAGCTCTCTATCCCTCTCTCCTCCTCTCTGTAAAAAATCAATAAAAAATATATTAAAAAAAAATATGAAGAAACAAGGATGAGACTAATAGGAGGGGCAGAGACGTGGAATGGGAAGGCCCCACATGTGACAATTAAGAATTGGGAGAAGTATCTGATCTGTGGAGGGGCACCCCACACCAGACTCCAGCTTTTATATATTTGTTTTATTGACTTCAGAGAGAGGAAGGGTGAGAGAGAAACATCAATGATGAAAGAATCAGTTGCTTCCTGCACACTCCCTACTGGGGATAGAGCCCGCAAGCCAGGCATATGCCTTGACTGGAATCAAACCTGATTGATAAATTTAGGGCATTTTTCAAACCCTTCAGTCCGTATGCTGATGCTCTATCCGCTGAGTGATACCAGCCAGAGCTACTAGACTCTAGCTTGAAAACCTCCAAGGGTCTATGGGGAGGAAGTGAATTGACTAACTTCATGGTGAGGCTGGAGGGTTAGGGCAGCTTCTGGGAATGGAAGCAAAGGCAGGCACCACCGATCCTTTGTTGACAGGTTCAACCTCTCCCATTAACCTAACACTGATCTATGCTCCAACTTGCATTCCCAAGCCACTTCCAGCAGCTTTTCCACACAGGAGGCCTTCTTCCGTGGTGCTACTAAAATCTCTAAGGCTCCCAAACAAGCTACTAGCCTCAGAATACCCTGAACCTCTGGCTAAGCAGCCCCTAACCTGGCATAGTGACAGTGAGTCTCAACTTGCACAGTAACTTCCACAGGTGTCCCCAAGTCCGACACTCGTGGCAAGCCAGCCTTGGTTTGCAATACAGCCTCACTCCAGAGCCTCCCAATCCCAGGACCAGTAGAACCAACCTTAGGTCACTTTTGTAGCTCCCACCTGGCAGCGCACACGTCAGGCACAGACAGCAGCAGACCTGGACCTATGCTGGAGCCCGTCCTGAGACACTCCGAAACTAATGCAGCTGGTGTTTAGCTGCAGACTACATCAGAACAACTAGCCAGCTCCACAAACGACACACCTGAAGGTTGGATGTGGTTGGCACCAGAACCCCCCTACAGCAACTTACACTCCACAGGATCAAGCCCCACCTTACAGCTAGTCGGCTGGCGGGTTAAGTCCAGCCACTGACATGCCAATGGCAATCAAGGCTCAACGGCAACAGGAGGACGCACACAACCTATACAAGAGAGTGCCCTGGAGCACCAGGCTCAGGTGGCCAGGGAGGCTGAGCCTTGGGGTCTTGGGGCCTCACAAAATGCCTTCTACATAAGGCTACTCGGTGAAGACTGAGAGATGTAGCAGATCTACCTATCACACAGAAACAGGCAGTCAACCAAAATGAGAAGATGATTAAGCATGTCCCAAATGAAGGAACAGAACAATAAAGTCAAAATGGCTATAGGATTCTCAATGAGTCAAAGGAAGGAATAGGTGAACTAGGTGAAATAATAGACATAAATAGAATCGGAAATGAAGAATATGTGAGAGAATCAACAGATTAGATGACGCAGAGGACTGAAGCAGCTGGAAGACAAATACCAGAAAACACCCAATAAAAACAAAAACTAAGATAGTTTTAAGGGACCTTTGGGACAAGATCAACTGCAAATACACAATTAAAATGGCAGTTACTTCAGAATTTTGAAGTGACAAGTGATAGAGGATTCTGATTCTTGCTCCAAAGGAGAACCAACTGCCCACTAATCAATCAATCACAGCAATATCCAAGGTTGGAGAAAGACAGATTCCTATTGTTTGACAGCCTAAGGAAACGGGGCCATTGATGGTGGTGGAAGGCTGGCAGACCTGAACCTGCCTACACCCTGCCAAGCTCCAGGTGCTCAGAGCATACCTCACAGCCATTGCATGTGCACTGCACACTTCCAAATTTTTCACCATTTTAAAAATCATTTTTTAAATGCCACTATACAAATACTGCTTGTCACTGCAGGGCTAGTGGGTATGCTTTCCGTCTCAATAGGTTTTAATATTTGTGAAAGAATGTACAAAGGAAGTATTTTTAAAATATTAAACGAGTTATGAAGCACATTAAGCAAAGCAGAAGAAATTTCTTAAGTTATACGTAATTTTTGCTAATAAAATTGGGATGCCATTTAAAGTACAAAGTCTGATTAAAATATGATGTTTTAAAAATTATAGTTTCATATGTATATTCTATACAGAGTGACAGGAATTCCAAGAAAATTAATGGTGTTTTCAGGAATTGAAACCTATACCATTCCTCATTGCCAGTGCAGAAGTGTTTGACCAATCATTTATGGATTTGGAAATTTCAAGTAAGTTTTTAGTCTGTTTAAGGGCAAAAAGGTATTTAGGCACTAAAACCGAAGATGGTAGTTAGGGGAGTTTCTAAAGGTACGTTACATGCAAGCAAACAAAAACTATACATCTCTATCCTGTTTATTCCCTGGATGGTCATATTCTAGCTCATGTTAGCTCTTACCCAGCAAGCATCAGCTTATTGCTTCTTGGGAATGGCTGACTTCCCGCTCATCACACCCATCCCACCTACCTCCGCAGACCTTGGAATCCAAGTCAAGGAGGCTGTCGCTGGGCATTCACCCTGCAAAGCCACACGTATTAGCTCAGTGCACTATGGAAAGACACTTAGATTCAGAAGTCACACTTCTCTAAGACTTTAAAAAACCCAAAAACTCCACCCATCAGGAAATCATCACTCATCAACATCTTGTGGTAAGAGGAACCTGACAAAGTTGGCACACCACTATGGGGTGAGGGGTTCCAAATCTGTCTATCCTAAGGACCTTTGAGGAACCCTGCTCTACAAATCCTGTCTTACTGTGGCTGACTCACAGCATCTTGGATAATTTTATACCTGCCTCTCTGGTACCTTCCTGTCTGCTTTTCTGCCTCCATTCTGGAAACCAGGACTGTATACATTATCCCAAGGGCAGAAGTACCTGGTTTGGGCTTAAATGCTCTTGCCACTGAGAGAGAGAGATCGTGCTGGGGTGAAACAGTGCGAACTCCCAGGCACTCAAAGCCCATGGAGACAGCTGGAGGTACTGCAGTGAGCCTTTCTCAGCAGATGCCTGTTCAGAGAGGCAAGCTTGGTTTGAAAGTTTACACTCAAAGGGGACAGCTTTCCAAAGCAGCCAAAGGAACCCAGAAATCCTTCCCGACAAACATCCCTGGGAAGTGGAAAATTGTCCCTCTTAGAGTGCCGACATTGAGGGCCAACTGGAAACAGCCACTAGTTGTTCTGAATTACTTATAAGACTATTCTGTCCTGTCACTGTGTATACTGTGAGGCATAGGCAATGCACCCTCAACAGACACCTAAGAACACAAGGCATGTGTGGTAGGTGGTTGGCAAGGCTGGGAGATTGCCCTTAATATCCTTGTGTTCTGAAGAAAGTACTAAAACGGTAAAGGTTTCAAAACACTGGGAGTTAAAGGCATCGGTATAAACATGTGACTTTACCTCGTATGCATATACTAGTATGCATAACCCATGGATGCAGACTGAGCGGAGAGGGCTCTGGGACAGGGGCTGGAGGTGGGTTAGAAGGGATCGATGAGGGGAGAAGGGACATATGTAATACTTTCAACAAGTATCTTTTTTAAAGTAAATGCATGGCTTTTAGATATATATACAAGTAAATATGTGTACACAAACACACAAATACATATTGTGTAGCTGTCTGGCTCAGAGGCCTGGAAACAACACCCCAGTACCAACGAGTGCTCCACACACCCAGATCTGGGTTTCTGATGCGTCCCTGAAAGGGACCAGAGCTCCTTGGAGAAAAGGCTGAATCTAGGGTTGGGGAAGGGAAAGTGTCTTTTCCTTTTACTGCCTTTATGTCTGTAGAGTTGAATCCCCTCTACGCAGTGTTTTATTATAACCTTACCACTTTTGGTTATTCTGGCAGTCCAACCCATAGGCTGGTTTTATAGCGAACAACCTTTTCAACATCTAAAATTAAAGGACAACCACTAGCCCCCCTCAGCTGCCTAGAAAGCAGTGGCTCACCTTGTTCCTCTATGATACCCCTGAGAAAGCGGAGTCTCCTCCAGGTCATCTTTGGGAACAATGTCAGGCTCAGCTGAGAGGCGTCTCCCTTCCAGGAGGTGTCATTTCAAAAGAAAACAGTGAGACAAGTATGTGTATCTCTTTTAGAAGCAATGCTAACACCTCCCTGCCCTCCCCCCACTTCTGTGCCCTCACTCATCTTCCCTTTAGTTATTGCTCAACAAGACCAAAGAATTTATTAGTAGCTGTTTATTGATCAACGGTTTAATATAAAGTTATTTCAGATCTTCAGAATTTGCCCAAATGGAATCACAAGCATTACAAAGTTTTCTTTTTTTCCCTTAAAAAAAGGATAGGGGGCAGGTTGGGAGTACTAGCAGTAGTGACATTTGAGAATAAATTAACAAAAAAAATTTAGTCTTATCATTTATTGGTGACAAACACTAAGTTTTACTTACATTCCATGGGAAGAAAAATTCCAGCGTAAACAATGAATCAAAGCAGTACTTAACTTGCAAGCTACCGTGCTTTCCATCTGGACCATGTGCAGGACCTTACCGCACACATTTCTGTGCTCAGTAACAACATCAAAAGCAACAGTTTTCGAGATAAACATAGGTCATTCTTTTCAGCCCTACATGGAGATGTACTCAACAGTATAAAGCACTCAGGAAAACCAATCTGCAGTTCTACATGTACTACATGGAGATCATATCCTGTAGTGTAGTGAAAGCTATGTGTCCTCAAGAGCCATATGTATATACACACAATTTTAATAACCTTTAAAACAAAGATCAAAGTTCATTTAAGTCCTGTTGCATTAAAAATGAAATAGCAAAGGAGCCAAATGATCGTTTAAAGTTTAAAATTCCTAAATTGTCCAATTTATACAACTGTGGGAGACTTCATCAAGATTTCTGAGAAGTCCAGGACCGTTTCAGCTAAACCAGAGGGCACACAATTTGCTTCACTGAAATGGTCCTGGGTTAGTCCAATAAAATAAAAATGTATAACAATGTACACATGGATTTAATTTGCCGGTTAGATTATTGATAAAGTCAGTCTCAGAAAAGTTTCTAAACTGTGCTATGTAACTAGATACAACTGAGAAACTCAAATGAAAATTTATATAGTGTCATTTCAATGGAAAGATAATGAAACAGAATATGTATCTCTTTTGGAAAAGAAAGCAGTGGTGATGGTGATGGTGATGGTGTAGGTACCACAGGAGGTGATGGGCCAGCAAGCTAGAAGGTTAGTTTGCTCTGAGTAGGAAGCATTTGATTTTTCTCCGGTGCTTTCAGCCAAGGCCTCTCTCTGGCGTGGGTGTCCAGGATTTGTCCCAAAGTGTTTGAGTGAGCCAGTCTGAAAAGGGGTCTCGCTTTCTGCTTTCTTTTTCTTCTTTCACACAGCAAAAAAAATACAAAAATGCACCTCAAAACCAAGCAATGAGGTGCCTGGGGCATAGACCTGCTGGTTTCCAATTGAGCCAGGGCTGCTTGACAGGGCCAATCTTCCCCTCCCCTGCAGCAACTGCTGCTGTGTGAGGACAAACCACAGCACACATGAGCACAGCCATGGCACCTCCTTGCGTTCCCGCCTTCGTCACCACTGCTGTCTCCAGCTCTTTACCCATCATGTCTCTCGGCCCACTGGAGGTATCAGAAATTCCAAATTTTCAAAGCAGTTTCAGTATTTTCAGTATATGTTGGGGATTTTACAATGGTTCATGGCCAGAAGGGATTCAGCACCTCCCACACCTTTAAGGAAGAAAAAAATGAAAATGACGCTCGTTTTGAAACTTAAAGAAAATTACACCCATGATAAAAATAAGTAAATAAATAAATAATAATGAAGCCCAAAAGCACAGGCCCTAATTTATGATAACTGCATTACAGTCATTTTCACAGGATATACTGTCAAGCAAAAAGCAGGGAGAATGTGTGCATGGATGTTATTTGGAGGGGGTGGGGGGAGGAAAATAAGAAGTATACAATGTATTTGCATACAGAATGAGGAAGTACCCATATATAAGGAAATAATGAAAATGTGACTTCTACTGAAACTGGTTTGGCTCAATGGATAGAGTATCTGCCTGCGGACTAAAGGATCCCAGGTTCGATTCCAGTCCAGGGCACTACCTTGGTTGCAGGCACATCCCCAGTGGGGGGAGTGCAGGAGGCAGCTGATCGATATTTCTCTAACCCTCTCCCTTCCTCTCTGTAAAAAAAAAAAAAAAAAATCAATAAAATATATATATTTTAAAAAGCTTAAAAAAAATGTGACTTCTAGCTAGGGGGTGGGAATAATGGGACAGCATGAGGGCCAGAGTTATACAGCATACCTTTTAAAATTATTTTGATTTTGGAAATGTGAATGTATTAACTATTCAAAATTAAATTTAAAAAGAAAGTGGAGCTGAGCCAGTGTGACTCAGCAGTTGAGCACTGACCCATGAACCAGGAGGTTACAGTTCAATTCCTGGTCAGGGCACTGGGTTATGGGCTCGATCCCCAGTAGAGGGTATGCAGGAGACAGCCAATCAATGATTTTCTCTCATCATTGATGTTGCTCTCCCTCTGTCTTCCTCTCTCTGAAATCAATAATAATGTGTGTTTTTTTAAGTGGAGTTCTTTGCCCCAGACCTGGAAAGCTTTCCAGGGAACAGGACAGGAAGGGACTGAGGCAAATGTTTCACTACCGAGTTGAGCAGACAGTTTTTATTCAATGCAAACAAGGACAGAACTGCCTTTCCATGTAAAAAGCTCACTCACACAGACATTGGTCCATTTCCTGTTCTTGGCATTTCTGTACTTTGTTGGTCCAACTCAGACAGCAACTTTAAGATATTCAGTGCAGCCTAACGGAATAAAAAGAAAAGTCTGACCTTAGCCACTGCTTGAGACCACAGTATAAGACATTGATTAGGGAGGGGAGAGATTTCCCTATTGCCCAACGAAGAGGTGGCCCTAAATAACCTTTTTCTTTAATGTCTGAACTTGTAATTTAAAGTTTACATTATTAAATCACTTGTTAATTTTATTATATATTTCCTTCTATTTTTTAATCTTGTGGTATTTTTAATCTTATGGTAACGGGACTGTTATATCCTGCTTTAACCCAAAAACCAATCATATTTCCTTGTTAGAATACATTATCTTTGGAGACATTAATTTGATGGATGCATTATATTCCATCAGGTGAATATGCCAAAGTCTATGCAGATAAATCAATTTCTTTTCGATTTTAATATTTTTTATAACAAAAATTTCATCTGAAGAGAATACCACAGTAAGGGGCTTTCTGTAGCTGCTAGAACTTGGGCCTGTAATTCCTGCTTCTGGTAAGAGGTGGATTTAATATGGTATCTGGAAGAGTTCCAAGGTCCAAGGTCCACAAGGGAAGGGTTGGCTAAAGCTGATGATTTCTCATAAACATAATGTGAAATCAATCCAGGAGACTAAGGAAAAAATATTCAGAAATACAAAATCTATACAATGATTAACTACAATCTGTTGGAGACCCCTTTACCTATCTTTCTGAGACCAGTAACAGGGTGGAACCAGACCCCAATGTGGGAGAACAAACCATGTCATGGCAGGACTCCAAATCCTTTCCGATACCGTGGCTGATCAGAGGTGGCTGAGAGGAGCAATTGATAAGAGATACAAACTCGTTCTTGTTGTTTTTGGGGAAGTCTTTGTATTCAACCTGAGGAGGAAAAGAAAACAGGCCAGGGCAGGGAAGTGTGCATATGAACTGAACTATGGCTCTGGGCCCAGCGAGTGGGAAATAACACTTCACTCCCCCTGGTCTCAGCACCTGACATGCTCAGTCAGCCCTGAGGAGGCCTGGGGCTGCGGGCAGAGCACGGCCCCAGTATCCAGGAACCTGTCTACTCAAAATCATCTGGAAGAAGCCATGCCCTTCCCTGCCAGGCAGAAAGGGCCAGCACAATGAATGTGTTCTCACTGAAATCTAAATTCTTAACGACCACTTAGTTATTCGTATTGCTGGCTTAAATAGTTAAAATTTTATTAGCAAAAGTAATGGATTTTCTCTTACATACAGGCTTCTACTACTTTCCATACCTTTCTACCCTTCCTCAGGATGACCCTTTTACCATGCTGGCCTTACCCATACCCTAGACAAAGAACTTGATTTAAAGAAAAAGGCACAGCCCTGGCTGGTGTAGCTGTTAGTTGGGTGTGATCCAGTCTACCTGAAGGTGGCCAGTTCAATTCCCGGTCAGGGCACATGTCTGGGTTGCAGGCTTGGAGGCAGCTGATCAATGTTTGGCTTCTAGTCAGTGTTTCTCTCTCTCTTCCTCTAAAAGTCAATTAAAAAAATCTTTTAATAAAAGCCTGGTATAGCTCAATGGTTGAGCATCAACCTATCAAGGTACATGATAAGGTTGTGGGCATAATCTCCAGTGGGGGTGTGCAGGAGGCAGCCAATCAATGATTCTCTCATCATTGATGCTTCTTATATCTCTCTCTCCTTTCCTCTCTGATATCAGTAAAAGTATATATTTTTTTTAAAAATCTTCAAAACAAAACAGGAACAAGGTGCAAAGTTTGTTTTCTGAGAGAAACCCAAAAATGACTGCACTGAGGTACAGACTACACGGCTCAGGTTTAGCAGCAGTTACCTGGAATCCCTGGACTCTGGAAAGATAATCCAACTGCTCAGAGGGTCTTGTGAGAGGTCCATGGGGTACGTGGCCTGAAGAAATGTTATTCTTTAAAATGGTGTCAGCTGTGGGCGAGGTGCCCCCATACAACAATTCACGGGCTATCATGGCAGTTACTGTGGCCTTGGCAGGATTCGGAGCTGCCCGGGTAAAATCTTTGGTGTGATGTCCTTGACTGACTCCTACGGCCTGGGCAACCTCGGGCACCATAGGAAGAATTCCAGCAGGCAGCTGCTGATGACTAAGATAAGGCATCCTAAATTCGTCCTCTTTATTGCCTAGAGACGGACACACAGACGAATCAATGCAAGTGCACACACACTGCCTGCCTGGGAAGATGTTACAAAACCCCACCCTGGCCCATTCTCAGTGCACACATTGGCACATGATGATGCAGAACTCAACACACTGTAACTCATTCACTGGGCACCCTGCTATTACCAGGAACCATGCAAATCCCAGAATCACATTCAGATTGAAACAATATTAACATCACACTTACTAGTTCCATTTTCATCCCCAGAGACAGGCTCAAAAAAGGTTACTTTTCTTCCATCCCCTGGCTTCTTTATGGGTGTCTTTAAAACAAACAAACAAATAAAAGGCTATGAGTATAAAACAAACTGTTGAAAAATTAGTTCTTCTCTCTCAAAAAAATTGTGAATCCCAACCAGCATAATCTTGAACTTTTGCACTCTAGGAATCTGAGGTGGCAATCAGCAGGAAGCCCTCCTCCCAAAGCCTGACCACCAGTTTGCTTTTTCCACCCAGCAAAGCCCGCACTCCCCGCCAGCCTGGCCACCAGAGCATCTGACAGTGCACCGGACCAAATGCTGAGCCTCCCTCTCGCTCACAGGAAGAGGGGAACATTAAACCAAAAAAGAAGATACTAGATTGGCAGAGCCCAAAGTGGAGAAGCTACACAGTATTTCTTGAACCTAAAATCCAATTAGAAGATAAGGTGACATTTCTGTACATTGACAAACTTATGAGGAAATGTTACTAGATAAAAATGATGTCAAACACAAGGTCTCCTTTCTGAGAAGGTAAGGTACCCGAAAGCCAAATCTAGGATCTACACAGTTTCTCTGATGAGTGTTTGGGGTCCCACTTATTAACTATGTGGTCACAGAGGGTGCCACTTCTCACCACTGATACAACTAACTGGCAGAGGTGAATGTATCAGTCTTGGGTTTTTCAAGTTTATTCCAATAGGAGCTTTCAGTAACTAGACACAAGGTCAGTCAAGGTTAAGGGTACTGCTTAACAGTCTTGGCAGAAGTAAAATTTTCAATATAGGATTAGTTTTATATAGTTTTAAATTTATAAAGAAACTAGTGGCCCAGTCCATGGATTTATGCACACTGGAAGGAAATTGGAAGAAATATCTTAACATCGCTACTCGCCCTTTCTCTATGGAAGTGTCAGCCAGCTTTCCCGTGGTTCTGAGCGACAGTCCTTTTGTCTTTTGTTGTAGTTTGGTGTGGCTGTGAGAGACAGCACGTACAGGTGTATACTCTATGTCGGCATCTTGGTTTCTCCCCACTTACTATTAAGACTTCTTAAGGGCATGAAGACTGCACCTACTATCAATTTTAATTTATGACATGGCATTCCTAAAGGAGTAATACTTTTAAGAAATTCGCCCTGGCTGGTTTGGCTTGGTGGATAGAGCATCAGCCTGCAGATTGAAAGGTTCCAAGTTGGATTCTGGCCAAGGGCACGTACCTGGGTTGTGGACTCAATCCCCAGTAGGGGCATGCAGGAGGCAGCTGATCAATGATTCTCTCTCATCAGTGATATTTCTATCTCTCTCTCCCCTTTCCAAATCCAGGACCCCTCAGGGAATATCCAACTGCCAGTTTAGGCCCAATCCTGGGAATCAGGTCTAAATCGTCAGCCAGACATCACTCTCATAATCCTGGACCACTGGCTCCTAATAGCTCACCTGCCTGAATGCCTGGTTGCCCCTAATTGCCCCCTTGCCTCCGCTGGTTTGATCTCCCCTAATTGCCCCCTGGCTGGCCTGGTCGCCTCTTACTGCGCTCCCCCCCAACTGCCAACCTGGTGGCCCCCAACTACCCCTCTCTAAAGGCTTGGTTGCCCACAACTGCGCGCCGCCCCCCCCCCCCCGCCAGCCTAGTTGCCCTTCATGCCCCCCCCGCCAGCCTAATTACCCTAAATGCCCCCTACCCCCTGCAGGCCTGGTTGCCCCCAACTGCACCCTGCTTCCCTCCCCGGCAGCCTGGTTGCCTCTTACTGCCATCCCCAACTGCTGGCCTGGTTGCCCACAACTGCCCCCCTCTGCTGGCCTGGTCATACTTTACTGCCCCCCCTTGCCGACCAGGTCACCCCAATTGCTCCCCTCTGCCGGCCTAGTTGCCCCTGACTCCCTGCCAGCCTGGTTGTAGTAAACTGCTCCCCCCCCCCCCCGCCACCCGCCTAGTTGACCTTCACTGCCCTCCTCCCTCAGCCAAGTTATCCCCAACTACCTCCCCTTGCTGACCAGGTTGCCCCCAACTGCCCCCCCCCATTGGCCTGGTTGCCCCCAACTGCTCCCCTGCTGGCCTGGTCACTCCCAACTGCATCCCCTATTGGCCTGGACACCCCTCATGTCCCTCCCCCCACCCACCACCCGCCGGCCTGTTTGCCCCATGCAGCCTGCTTGTTCAGTCATTTGGTTGACCCTCACTAACCCGCCTGCTGGCATGGTCATAGGCAGCCATCTTATGAAGGCATGAGGGTTAATTTGCGTATTACCCCATGAGGGTTAATTTGCGTATTATATAGGATTGCCGGTGTGCATTGTATGTACCAGCTGACCAGTCAGTTGGACAGATACATGATAAGTCACTTAGCCTTTTACATCCTCCTATATAATAAAAGCCTAATATGTAGGTGTCCAGCCCTTCAACAGGCTCACTGATCACCAGAGAGCAGAGCTCCAACCAGTAAAGCAGCTTGCTGCTGGGATCCAGCTGATCGGGACTGGGCAAGACGGGCCTGAAGACCTCCCTCGGTCCTCCCTGGCCCCAATCGTGCACCAGGCCTCTAGTATAGATAAGAAAACACAAGTCTAAACAATGGCTTTTGCCCTAACTCTAAAACCACACTATCTCAATGTCCCAGAAAAATCAAAGCCTGCTCCACAACTCACAAGAGACCAAGTTGATGTATCTTTTACAGAGACCTCATTGTAAGAGTGCAAATGGTAGAATCACACGTTCATTCATTTCAAACCCTATTATCCAGCAACCCACTAACACAAAGAAACAAGCTGCTTTCTAGCAAAGCATCCTAGACCACAAAGATACTTGTTAATGTGACTCAGAGTCATTTTTGTGGCCATGAACATGCAACTCTTTTCTGACTACATTAGAACAGTCAAATGGAGAAGAAGCTGCAAGGCAGGGCTGCTTTACGGCCAAGTGGGGCCAGAGTCCCCCAGCTTAAGGAGAGGGTCGTCTTGCAATTAGAGAACAGGACACAGCCTCTAGCAGTCACCTTCTCTTCTGATTTGAGGGCTGGTTTGGTGGGCTGAGCCTGTGGGACTTTGAAACCAAGAATCTCCAGCATGTTCTCAGCTGCGTTGCGTTTTGCCACCTTCTTATTGGTGCCTGTTCCCTCTGCCGTGTGGTTTCCAACCTTCACCTGCAGAAAGAAGGCAGGACACATATCAGTGCTTAAACCTTCAGTGTAAAGACCAATCAGGAACTGAAGTGTTGGCCAAAGAATCTAGCAATGGTCAGAATCCAGACAGCTTACCAGTGGCACCCGGGAGCTAGTTTGCACAGCCTGCGAGAGCAGACTGATAAATATGCAAGAAATGGGAGATCTCATTGTTAAAGGCAGCCATTATCAAACAGTGTATTATTTAAGCTTATAATTAAATTATTTTAACAGATAATGAATACTTAAGACACATCACTTTCTAATTAGACTACATTTGCCAGTTATCTATGCTTTTGAAGTTCTTTACATGTTATATTTGAACATTTTTACTGATTTTGAGAGAGAGAAGAAGAGAGAAAGACAGAAATGTTGATGTGAGAATACACTGATTTGCTGCCTCCCGTATACTCCCTACTGAGGATCGAGCCCACAATCCAGGCCATGGGCCCAAGTGGGAATCGAACTGACAACTTTTTGGTGCACAGGACAATGCTCAACCAACTGAACCATACCAGCCAGGGCACATCTGTTATATTTGTATGGTAGAAATATTATATAATTGTGTGCCCCTGTTTATCACTTCCTGACTCCATAACCAAATGTGGAAACAGCCTTGATTGGGCTTTTACACCACCAAAATCTGCAAACATTATATAGAAAGAATTAAGTTGTTTCATTGCCTGTCTATGCTAGACTTAAGTGATGGAGAAAGGGTAATAATGCAGATTAGATTTAAAAGTATGTCAAGTCTCAACTATGACATAACTAGAAAAAATTGAAAATTCTCCTAGTCTTCAAAAATTATTATGATTGAGCAGAGAAGTCACTTCTATTATTTACAAATAAGAGAAGTTCCAACATGTCTCTGATATTTTACTTTCATCTCACCTGTTAATGTAAACAAAAATACCAACCAATATTAATGCTAGAACTACACTCATTTGTCAGTGACGTGAGTAGCCTGGAAAGTAAAGGCATTTATCCATGGTCTGATTTTATAACACTACTGTTACTGATAGTCATACTGAAGTTAATAATGTACCCGAGTTACAATAAAGACTATTATACATGTGTAATATATTACTTATAAACTGTGTGCTACACACCTCATCAGTGAAATTTATAAAACATCTATGTATATATTTATGTACATACATACACAGGGTAGGGCAAAATTAGGTTTAGTTGTGAGTACACAAAACACAGTATTCTTATATTAGTATTTATTATTGTATTACTTCCCATATGAATAACTGCAAACCTACTTTTGGTCCACCCTGAATGTGTTTAGATCCATACATGCATCCTTCCACCACACTCACTACCCTCACCTGAGAGCTGGTTGGTTGTTAAACCTAATCCAGGACAAACCACAGCCTACAATCCCCTTCCAAAATAGTCTGTACCAAATCAAAAGTCCTATGTCACAAAATTATCAAGAAAGCCTTCCTGCCGAGACCGGTTTGGCTCAATGGATAGAGCGTCAGCTTGGGGACTGAAGGGTCCCAGGTTCGATTCCGGTCAAGGGCATGTACCTTGGTTGCGGGCATATCCCCAGTAGGGGGTGTGCAAGAGGCAGCTGATCGGTGACTCTCATCCGTGTTTCTAACTATCTACCTTCCTCTCTGTACAAAATCAATAAAATATATTTAAAAAAAAAAAAAAAGAGGAGGATCCAAGATGGCTGCACCCAAGTAAACACCTAGCCGCAGCCGCACACGACAATTTCAATAAAATACAACTAAAATATAAAACGGACATTACCCAGAACTACAGAAAAGTTGACTGTCTGGAAATCCTATAGCGAGAAGCAAGGAGAAAACCAGAAGGAAGCGCAGAGGAGCTGGAAAAGCCCAAGGTACGGAGACGCAGGGCGTGGAGAGGACGGAGCCGGAGAGGAGGGGGAGGTGGAGTGCCTGGAGGGCGTTCCCTAGCAGAAAGGAGATAAAACTCCGACTGTGCTGGGCCCCCGACTGCTCTGAACCCCAGTTCTGGGCCAGACCCCGGGGACTCAGGCGCAGCCATAGGGAGCCGGGCTGTAAGGCGGAACCCGGGGGAGCGGCACAGAGAAGAGACGGCCGGCTGTGCCGTGGGATTGCCCTGGTGGGAAGGAGTCTGGGGCTCCGGACAGCTCTGAACGCCACCTCCAACTCCACTTCCAACTGAACTGAACCCCAATACCGGGCTCACTGGGGGAGAGCATAGACTGTTTGGCAGCAGGAGAAAATCGAGGACACCTTTCTCTCAGAGGCGCCAGCAGCGAGCACTGAAGGACCCGCATAGGGCGGGGCTGACGGAAGCCAAAGCTGCAGGCTCCACCCTGAAACCCCGTCCCATCTGTAACTGCGAAATGCGACAACAAAATAGACCACAAACGAAAGAAATGGAGGACAAAAAGCGTCTGGATATAAGAGTTCAAATCTACGCTTATAAGGTTTTTCAAGAATTTCCTAGAAAAGATGGATAAGACCTATGAGGATATGAAAAGAGATCAACTAGAATTAATAAGGAGTCATCAAGAAATGATAAGGGCCGGGACCGGTTTGGCTCAATGGATAGAGCGTCAGCTTGGGGACTGAAGGATCCCAGGGGTCAAGGGCATGTACCTTGGTTGCGGGCATATCCCCAGTAGGGGGTGTGCAAGAGGCAGCTGATCGATGACTCTCTCTCATCGATGTTTCTGACTATCTCTCTCCCTTCCTCTCTACAAAATCAATAAAATATATTAAAAAAAAAAAAGAAGAAATGATAAGGGATCAACAAGAAATAAAGAATACATTATCTGAAATAAAAAATATTTTACAGAGTCCTAAAAACAGAATGGAAGATAACAAGAATCAAGTAAAAAATTTGGAACATAAAGAGCCAGAAGACATCCCTCCACAGAAGCTAGAAGGCAAGAGAATCCAGAAAATTGAAGATAATAAACCTCTGGGACAATTTCAAGCGAACCAACATCAGAATTATGGGGGTCCCAGAAGATGAGAGAGAGCAAGATATCGAAAACATACTGAAAGAAATAGTGACAGAAAACTTCCCCTACGTGGTGAAAGAATTAGACTTACAAGTTCAGGAAGCGCACAGAACTCCAAACAAAAGAAATCCAAAGAGGACCACACCAAGACACATCATAATTAAAATTCCATGAGCAAAAGACAAAGAGAGAATATTAAAAGAAGCAAGAGCAAAGAAGGTAGTTACCTATAAAGGAGCACCTATACGATTGTCAGCTGATTTCTCAACAGAAACCATGCAGGCCAGAAGGGAATGGCAAGAAATATTCAAGGTGATGAATAGTAAGAACCTACAGCCAAAAATAATCTATCCAGCAAAGCTATCACTCAGAATCGAAGGTCAGATAAAGAGCTTCACTAATAAAAAAAAGCTAAAGGAGTTCATCAACACCAAACCAGAATTATATTAATTGCTGAAGGGGGTTCTTTCGGAAGAGAAAGTAAACAAAGATAAAAATTATGAACAACAAATACATAACTATCAACAAGTGAATCTAAAAACCAAGGAAATTAAAAAAAAAATCTGATGAACAATAGTAACTGTTGAATATAATAGAATCAGAGGTATGGAAGGGGAGTGAACTGACGATTCTTGGGAAAAAGGGGAGAGGGGGGGCGTGGGAAGAGACTGAACATAAACTGTGTACCTATGGATGAGGACAATGGGGAGTGGGGAAAGGGCAGAGGGTGAGGTGGGAACCTGATGGAGGAGAGCAATGGTGAGGGAGGGGGGAAGGAACATTTGTAATAATATGAACAATAAAAACTTATTTAAATAAATAAATAAATAAATAAATAAATAAATAAATAAATAAATAAATATAAGTAAATAAATAAAATTAAAAAAAAAAAAAAAGAAAGCCTTCCTGGCCTGTGAACAGGGGCCTAGGATTGACACCCCCTCACACCCCCGACTAGCCATCTACCAGCCATTTCACGTTGGACAAGTTAATTACTGATCCTCTAAGCAAGCTGGTTTCCTCTCCTAGAACAGATAGATCATTCCTCTTCTTGCCTGTGACTGGGTAGGTGAAACACACCAAGTTAAGTAATGATGCTTTAAGTTGTAAACTGCTACACTAAAGCATCCTGATTTCCACCAGAATATGCTATTAAATGCAAATCACACATTAAGCTGCCCATGTGAACATCCGTTTAATAAGCTAAGTATGAAAAGAAACCCTCTGAACTAAATCTAAAGTGCCACCACAATCTAAGGAAGAGCAACTTGGACTCCAGATTCCACAGGTTTACAAGGAACAGGAAGAGAACATTTGATATAACTTATATAAAATTTATCTTCTGAAAATAATGTAACCATCAGATAGATGTAATAAAGAAATAAATCTACCCCAAATCCCTCTATCCCAATGCTCTTCTAACGGATCCATTTGTGTTCAAGCCCTGACCTGCTGACCAGAAGCCCTGTACAGAGAAATAAGGCTTTAAGACACTAAATTACTGCAAGCAACATGGACTTAACATGGACAACGCTGATGACAAGGAGCGGATCACTGGCCCAACACGCTGGACCTGGGATCTCGTCAGGCTCCGAGGTGGGACAAGGTCAGAGAAGGGACCTCCACAAGCTGCACTAACCCACCTGCATCACAAACTCCCTGCGGCGCGGGAGGCCTCGCTCTGTGAGAAGCATGTACTCCGGCTCCTTCTCCTTTTTCGCCTGCTGGATCTGGGCCAGTCTGCTAATAGGGTTCATCACCTGGCCATGTTCTGGGCCACTTTGTACCTGAGAAACAATTATTACAGAAACCATATGTCATGTTAGTAACAGAAACAATCTTGCCAATTCAGAGATAAGGACATGACAAGAGTTACTTTTATATTGATCCAATAGCTCCAAATTAAGCTGCACTTTTTTTAAACTATTTTTAATTGAAAGATGTTAAATGATTTTGTATGATTGTTCTAAAGTGAGTTTAAGGTCTTCTTGGCAAACCAATATCAACATTTCACTATGACTAGGCAAGCATCATTGTAATTCCTGCTTTTTAACAATTTCAACAAATTACAATGAAAAGGTAGAAAAAAATAACATTATTCTTAAAATTTCCCATAACTCTGTATTATAAGATGGGTTCCCAGCTTTCTTAACAATTACTCAAAATCCAGAAACCACTAAAAACACTAAAAGAAAAAAATTTTTCTTCAAGCTGAGGCCACATAGAAAAGAACCCCACAGTGGGCATCTTCAGCTCCAAGGAGTCCTCACCTATTCTGACAAGGAGTGACTTCCAGCAGAAAAGTAAAATTGCTAAAATATGCTAACTATTAAACAAATAAAGAAAATTTCAAAAGTATGCTAATTTTTCTATGTTTAGATGCTAACTTGTGTGTAAAAAAAAAATTTGAAAGTTGATACAGCATGAAACCATATTGACAATACTGACTTTCATAAATGTCCCCTCATGGATTCCTGTCCCTTCTTTGGGGTTGGGAAGGAGAAGCAGTATAATTTTTGATAGATTCATTGGCATGACTCAAAACTCCAAATCAAGGTTTATAGTGAGACATCTTGCACCTATATCTGCCGCTAGCCAGCTTTCCTCCCATGAATCTCCTTCACAATGGAGCAGCACAGCAGACCGTGAGACAGAGGAAGCTCGGTTCTCTGCTCTTCCCTCGAGTGACCCCTTATGATCACAGGGCTGCGAGCACACCCACTTCCAACAGACATGTGCAAGCCTGCGGGTAACTCCCCTGCACCCGGCTCAATGTCCTTCTCTCCCTGACCTGGGACTCCCAAGAGAACATACAAGGTGGCCGTGTAAAGGGTGTCTGGGGCCTGGTGTGTGCACATTAGCTCCCTCCCCTTCCACTAGAGTCAGCAGCCAGCCTCCTGGGATCCCCAATCATCTGCGGGCAGTGAAAACACCCTCTTCATTCAGACAGGTGCTTACCCTGACTATGGGCTTTGTTTTCTTTTTGATTCGGGGCTTCACCCGTTGTTCAACTACAGGCAGGGGTGGTAACTTCTTCAACTCCTCAAGAATAGCTATAGCAGCGTTTTTCTTTGAAATCTTCTTGCTCTTTCCTTCGCCTTCCCTCACAAACTCCCCAACGGACACCTTGGTCACAAAGCTCTTCATGTGGGGTGGGCCAGTCTCCCGGGCGACCTGTTTCAGAGGGAAAGACTGAGTGAAAGCATGACAGACACTTATTACAAGCTGCAGGGAACACTGGTTAGTATACTACTTCACATGAGACACAGGTAAAGGGTAACTGAGGACAAAATCCATTAAGTGAAGGGAGCCTAAATGTCGGCAAAATGAAACAGTGATCATGCTGAATACTTTTTCTCATTTTTCAACCTTGTTTATGTTCTGGGGTCTGAAGTTTGTTTCCAAAACAGGGAAACATTTTCTATTATCACCATCCTAAAAAAATGGTTCACATCTCCACAGGGTCACAGAATGTCCTGAGTTTAGGGTGATCCACCGCAAACAGCACGAAAGAAGCTGGCCCAGTAAAGCCCAGAAATAACTGCTGCACAAAGAGTTCGAGTTTAATATTTGCTCTGAGCCGCCAGCCAAATCTGACTTTATTAAATATTGGTTGCTATGCAGCTGTAAAGAAGAATGAGAAAACCTCTAACACTGAAAGTGATTAAAACCTACTGGCTCAGTAAGTTAAAAAAGCAAACTGCAGCCGGGACCGGTTTGGCTCAGTGGATAGAGCATCGGCCTGCGGACTGAAAAGTCCCGGGTTCGATTCCAGGCAAGGGCATGTACCTTGGTTGCGGGCACATCCCCGGTGGACGGTGTAAAAGAGGCAACTGATCGATGATTCTAACTCTCTATCCCTCTCTCTTCCTCTCTGTGAAAAATCAATAAAATATATTAAAAAAAAACAAAAAAAAACTGCAGAAGAGTATATACACTGAGTGGCCAGATTATTATAATCTCTGAATGCATAATAATCTGGCCACTCAGTGTGTGTGTGTGTACATGTGTGTGTGTGTACACGTGTGTGTGTGTGTGTGTACACATAATACATAATAATAATACATAATAATATACACAATACTAATAATACATAATAATCTGGCCACTCAGTGTGTGTGTGTGTGTGGTGTATGTATAGATATGTGTGTGTGTGTGTGTGTGTGTGTGTGTGTGTGTGTGTGTGTATTAGAAGCCCAGTGCATGAATTCATGCATGAGTGAGGTCTGGCCAGCCTGGCCAGGGGGAGGGGACATGGGCAGTTGGCTGGCATGCCTACTAGTTGAACTCCTGGTTGAGGGGACAATTTGCATATTAGCCTTTTATTATATAGGATATACACTCAGTGGCCAGATTATTATGTGTTCAGAGATCATAATAATCTAGCCACTCAGTGTACATGATTCCCCTAACTTCTATGTTAAAAATAGACTTTTACATATATGTTTACATATACACATGCATGTATAGACATGTGCTTATATGGTGATTTAAAACACACACACACAAAAACAACAACGACAACAACACAAAAGAACAAGAACGACAAAGCAGAAAACAATGAAATTAGTTTCCTACAGCAGGTGGGAGGGATTGGAGTGGAGAGGGAACAAGATGACATTTTCTCAATGTGTCTTTTTGTCCAGGTTTGATTTTTAAAATCATTTAGTGTTCTAAATATTAAAAATAAATCAACAAAGGTAGAGAAAAACACTAAAATGGAATATGAACAGAAACCTAACTACATATCAAAATTATTACGTACTCACACGAAAAGAAAATAAAGATCGAATCCTACCCACTCAGCCAAGACACCCTTGGAAAAATCTAAGAAGACTTAGATGACCAGCTGCAGTGAGTAGCTTAATTTATGTGGTCTTTGGTTTGGCCCTGTTGTGTCTTATTCTGTTTCCCCATCAGTACATATAGAACAATTGGCATGATGACACTGGTGTTGAACCTCATTGACAGCAAATCAGAAGGAAGATCCTTCCTACAAATGGGACACCAACAATCAAGTCCCATTTACAACAGATGAGCCCAAATAACACACACAAGGGGCATTCCTGAAGCATACAACTCAGGTGAACGAAGAGACTGCACCACTAGACTCTCAAGACACTTTCTACATTAGGCAATCCCACAAATGCTGGGAGGAATAACAGTTATATCTAATATATAAAAGCAAATACAAAGAGACAGCTAAAATGAGGAGATAAAGAAGCAATCCCCAAATGGGAAAAAAGAAGGAATCTCCAGAAAAAGAACTAACTGAAATGGAGGCAAGCAACCTATCATAGAGCTCAAAGCTGTGGAGAATAGATACAGGGTTCGGACAGGTTCAAGCCTCAGACTAACTTGTGGCAAACTCACATACAAGTTGCAGCTTGGAGGGCAAAGCCCTCCCAGCACAATTATAGCCAAAAGGCTATGGTTGTAAGCTTAACCTTATAGTCCGACCCTGCAGTCCTTGGTCCTCGGTAGCTGGGGGATAAGGGATGTGGGCTGTGGGCTGTGGGCTGTGGGGGGGAAGGCGGGGAGGTGATGTGGTGGCAGCAAGTGCTGCCTAAATGAAGCTTGATAGAGTTCAGAGAATGGCAACAACAGGAAAGATGCAGATTGAAATTCGCAAGAACACTGTAAACATCTTGTCCTTTTTTTATGTGATCTGACTATAAAATAAAGCTTTGGCTTACAGGCTGTATCACTGTTTCCTCATCCAGGCACTGTGATCCTACTTGGCCCCAACTGTATTCTCTTATCTGTATTATTTAATCCTTTACCACCTACCCCTCTTCAGGTTCACCCCTGGCCACCCTGAATGTGGTTCACAAAGCAATGGTATAAAGATGCTTAAGGGAGTTGGTGCAAATTGCAACAGCATGAAAAGGAAAATGGAGGCCATGAACAAGAACCATAGAGAAGTGAAGAATTATATATCTTATATCAAAAACACAGTGGAGTGGAGATCACAGACTTTTCAAGGACGAGAAGTCTCTGACCAGGGAGGTAGACAGCTATCCCAAGACAATGCCAACAAGGCCTATATGCTCACAAATTGATATTGCTTGTTTTTATATCATCTTATTGATATTGAGTGAACGTACATAAAATAATTTTCATTTTATTATTATCCTCATAGTTCCCCAGACCTCTTCCTTTATTAGATATGAAAATTTTAACTTGGATACCTGCTAATCTTTTTTACTTACTACACAATAATGTTCTGATTATCAGGTATGATAGTGAAATTAATGCTTTGTTAGCCACACGTTGGTCTTCTCCTACTATCAATATAAGCTTTAGTTGTTGTTTAAAAACCAACAAACAAACAAACAAAAGAACACACTGGAGCCCTAACTGGTTTGGCTCAGTGGATAGAGCATTGGCCTGCGGATTGAAGAGGTTGATTCTGGTCAAAGGCATGTACCTTGGTTGCAGGCACATCCCCAGTAGGAGGCGTGCAGGAGGCAGCTAATCGATGTTTCTCTCTCTCATCGATATTTCTAGCTCTCTATCCCTCTCCCTTCCTCTTTGTAAAAAAATCAACAAAACATTAAAAAACAAAACACTGGAGGATATGAAAAGTAGACTGAATGAAGCAGAGGATCTAATCAGTGATTTGGAAGACAAGGTAGAAATAAATACCCAATTAGAACAGCAAATAGAAAAAATCATTAAAAGGCAGGAAGGTAGCTTATGGAAGCTCTGGGACAACATGAAAGGTACAACATCCGAATTATCCTAATAAAAGAGTAATATGCGAATTGACCGTCACTCCAACACACAAGATGGCTGCCCTCATGTGGACACAAGAAGGCCAGCAGAGGAGGGCAGTTGGGGAAGACCAGGCTTGTAGGGGAGGGAAGTTGGGTGGAGGGAGACTAGGCCTACAGGGTAGGGCAGTTAGGGTGACCAGGCCAGCAGAGGAGGGCAGTTAGGGGTGACTGGGCCAGCAGGGGAGTAGTTGTGGGAGGGGTCCAGGCCTGCAGGGGAGGGCAGTTGGGAGGGGGTCCAGGCCTGCAGGGGAGGGTGGTTAGGGGCAATCAAGCCAGCAGGGGAGCTGTTAGGCATCTATCAAGTGGTCAAGGGAGAGGTTAGGGGTGATCAGGCTGGCAAGCATAAGTGGTTAGGGGCAATCAGGCAGAGAGGCAGGCAAGCGGTTGGGAGCCAGCAGTCCTGGATCGTGAGAGGGATGTCCCAGATTGGAGAGGGTGCAGACTGGGCTGAGGGACACCCCCCTCCCCGTGCACTAATTTTGTGCACCAGGCCTCTAGTAGACTATAAAGTCTCCAACAATTAGGTTATTAATGGGTGAACTAGGTGATGGATGGGGCAGAGGTTGGATAATGACAAAGCTTGTGTCCTTTTAAAATTTATTCTAACAAGGTATAGCCAGTTTGGCATAGTGAACCTGAAGAGTCCCAGGTTCAATTCCAGTCAAGGGCATGTACCTCAGTTGCAGGCTCAATTCCTGGCTCCAATTGGAGCACGTGCAGGAGGCAACCAATCGATGATGTGTCTTTCTCACATGGATGTTTTTCTCTGTCTCTCCCTTCCCACTCTAAAAAATCAATGGAAGAGTATTCTTGGGTGAGGATTAACAAAAACAACAACAAATTATCTAACATGATTGTTAGAGAACACTTAAGATTCTTAACATTTGGAATAACAGATGCTTTTGAGTCTTATGAAAATAATTGACCCTCTCTAGAATACACATGTGAACATAAATGCAATGTTCCTCAGCCCATTTTAGGCGGTTTATAGAGACCTACTGAGGCCATCCATAGACCTGCTGCCCCTAGAAGGAGAGAATACTGCACTTGACTAAACATACAGTTTGAATCTTAAATTTAAATTCACATATATGTGGTTATTCCAATGTTATTTAGGAAAAATATAATTCCAACTATGAATGCCAACAGAATTTTATAATACAAAATCCTACATGTAAAATAAACTTACCTCAAAATTCACAGGTAAGTTCCGTTTAAGTGCAATCTCAAACACTTGACTTATTTCAGATTTATTGAGATTTTCTTCCTCTGATTCTCTTCCATTCACCTAAAAGAATAATTGTTTAGTAGTTAACTCTTATTTAAACATCAACATCCCAAGCTGTGAGAAATCTTAAAAACACTGAACCTTGGCTTTATGGATTGAGCATCAAACCAATAAGAACAAGGCCACACGCTACCATTTGTCAGTGAATTTAAAAGGTTAAAAAAAAAATGTTCTAGCCAAAACCGGTTTGGCTCAGTGGATAGAGCGTCGGTCTGTGGACTAAAAGGTCCCGGGTTCGATTCAAGGGCATGTACCTTGGTTGCGGGCGCATCCCCAGTAGGAGGTGAGCAAGAGGCAGCTAATCGATGATTCTCTCTCATCGATGTTTCTAACTCTCTATCCCTCTCTCTTCCTCTCTGTAAAAAATCAATAAAAATATATTTTTAAAAAATGTTCTATCAAACTTAGGTCAGACTACACCTCATAAATCCACCATAAACAATGTACATACTATGGACTTTTGGGTATGAAATCAGCCTAATCCTGGCATAGCGAGATGCCCTGGCTGCTCAGGCAGAGTGACTTCTAAAGCCCTTCTCAAGGACTGGCAAAGGAAAAAGTCAAAATACAGGCAGACTTGTGTGGGACTTGGCAAGTTCAAATATAAGTCTCTCTACCTAACGTTTCTTATCTGGACATGAAGTCCTTGGAAACCACTTTTTCCAAAAGGATGCAGTGGAACTATTATAAAATTGCCAAGCATCTCATACTTACTACTGCTGGTAAAAATAAAAAACTAATGAAGTCTCCTGAACAAAGACTGAAACTCTATATCTGTAACCAGGTTCATTACAGTCCTCCAGCCAGGGCCTGAGCCTAAAGAGGGACAGAGATCAATTCTGTGCATGCCGATAACATAATTCTATGAAAATATAAAAAATTAGATACGCTTGGTAATAACAAAGTGTCCCCAAAACATGGTAAGAAAGCTGTGCTTTTCCTCATATTATTGGGACTCTGTAGTCATAAAATTGTAAAACCCCACTTTCAAGATCTGAACTATCTGACAGGAACTTGTGGCTGAAATTGTTGAGTGGGCAAGGTGTATAGAACCATCCAGGATTTTCATACGTCTTAACAAGTAGATGCTACACCTACACTGGATCATTATTTAAGGTGTAATTAAAGGAAATAAAACTGAAAGTTTAAAAAAAAATACAATCAAGAATATAATCCTGTATAAATAAGTTTACCCCAGATACTATTTATAATGCTTTCTCTACCATCTAATGTTCTTCCAATCTGGTTTCATGTCACTCTCTGCCTGGTCAAAACTAGTTGCAGAGTATTTCTGGTGGTTTATTAAGCTAAACACACTTTTATTTCTGTTGTTTAAGCCCTCAGGAGAAAGAAGGCCTGCCTTTTTACAAGTGAATCCTTAAAGCCAGAAATCGTCAAGCAAGGTACCTTAAAAGGCGTAGGTTTTAGAGAAGTTTGGGTTGATATTTATTTGTTGAATAGGTTTTAAACTAAAAAGAAAAATACTATATTTTAAAGTTAAGTATGTTCAATAAATGGTGCTGGAAAAACTAGATATTCACACGCAAAAAAATGAAGTTGGACCCTTACCTTACATCATATACAAAAATTAACTCAAGATGGATCAAAGACCTAAACATAAGAGCAAAAATTATAATAAAATTCTTAGAAGAAAACATTGGGAAAAGTTTCATGACACTGGGTTTGGCAGGACTTCTTGTATATAACACCAAAAGCATGGGCAACAAAAGAAACAAATAAATTGAATGTCATAAAAATTAAACACTTTCGTGCATTAAAGGACACTATCAACAGAATAAAGACAATCTACAGAATAGGAGAAAATATATCTGATAAAAAACTGATATACAGAAAAGAACTTCGAAAAAATCAACAACAACAAACAACCCAACTCAAATATAAGAAAGGCTTTGACTAGTCATGTCTCTAAAGAAGATATGATGGCCAAAAAGCATGTGAAATAATGCTCAACATTAGTAGGGAAATGCAAATCAAAACCACAATGAGATACCACTTTACTCCCATAAGAATGGCCACAGAAAATAGCAAGTGTTGACAGGGATGTGCAGAAATTGGAACCCTTCTATGTTGCTGGTGAGAATGTTAAATGGTGCAGCCTCTGTGGAAAAGTTTGGTGGTTTCTCAAAAAGTTAAAACACAGAATTACAATATGAGCCAGCAATTCCACTTCTAGCTCTATACTCAAAAGAATTTAAAGTAGGGACTCAAACAGATACCTATTAGCAACATTATTCACAATCACTAAAAGGTGAACACCCAAACATCCATCAACAGATGAATGGCTAAGCAAAATGTGGCACAGTCATACAGTGCAATATTATTCAGCCTTAAAAAGGAATTAAATCTTGAAAACATGCTACATCACGGATGAAAACATTATGATACCTTGAAAACATTATGATAAATGAAATAAGCCAAACACAAATTTATCTATTTAGATGGTGTATCTAGCACAGGCAAGTGCACAGAGACAGAAGAATAGAGGTTATCAGGGAATGGGGACGAGACAGGGCGAGTTACCGTTTAACAGGTACAGAGTTTCTATGTGGAATGATGAAAAAGTACTGTAAATGACTAGTGGTGATAGTTGCACAACATTGAGAATATATTTAATGCCAAAGAACAGTACACTTAAAAAATGGTCAAAATGGCAACCTTTATGTTAATGTATATTTTATCTTAATGTTTTTAAAGCAGCAAAAAGTATGTTTCACACCAAGTATTAACACAAAGAAGTCTTGTCAGCACATTAATTTGTGCTAACAGGTTAACCCACTTTTGTGCACAAAAGAATTTTTGACAGCTATATTTATTTGAAGAGTATCCAGAAACTTTTTTAAATAAATTAACTTTTTAAAAAATTACAAACTCTCATGCTAAGTAACTGTATCAATGAGTATGTTCTCCTTATGTGCAACCAGAACAAAAGTTGGAAATAAACTAGGTGGTGAGGCTGATATAAGACATCAATTGCCATGCTTGTGTCCAATTTTCAATGTTTTTGTTCATTATTACCAGTCCAATTAATTTTAACTTTTATTTTTAATTATGACCTATTTCAAACATACAAGAAAGGAAAGTATAAACAATGTAACAGGCAACTGCACTGGATTTAACAAATGTCAACATTAAGTACTATTGACATTAAATTTTTTTTTAATAAGGAATACAATGAAGCCCTTCTCATTCTCCTTCCCAAGGCAGAGTTAACCACTATTCTAAAATTAAGACTATCTTTCCCAGCCATGTGTGCTTTTTTAATGGATGAAAACAATATATATAAAATTCTGTGGTGTAAAAAAAATCACATTAAAAAAATCACATAAATTGTTTTAATTGACTGTCTTAATAAATCTTATAAAATTCAAACTTTTAAGTTTACACTAATGAAATGTTACTTTTCTTTTTTTATAGATTGAAGTTCCACATAGGTGTGATAGAACACAGTAGTCTACTGCTAAATCTAAACTCTAAGCTAGTGGCTCTCAACCACAGTAATATTAGAATTACTTTGGGGCTTTACAAAGACAGCAGTTGGAGCCCCATTCAAACAAATAAATTCAAATTTTTGTAGGTAGGGCTTGAATACACTTTTTTTTTTTTTTTTTAAACAGCATTTGTTTGTTTGTTCGTTTTTAAAATCCCCAGGTGACTTTACTAGCAACCAGAGTTGAGATTCACTGCTCTAAGCCATTGCTTCCAAGGGAATTTCAATAGGAACAAAGCAGCCAGTAAAATAAAAATGCAAAAGAGAAAACAAGGATATACATTTATTTGAAAGTGAGATTATGTTGCTCTTTTACATAATTTTGATTTTATCTAAATTGCACAAAATGTTGCAATGGGGAAGCAGCAAATGACTCAAAACAAATCCACAAATACCATTCCCAGTAAGATGGGGAAAGTGTAGTAGGCCCTTAGTCTTACCTTCTTGAAGTGGGAATTACTGTTAACATCAATCCCATAGTGTATGGTACAGCAATAAAATCTAGGCAACATTAAGAAAAGAAAAAAACACTCTGAACCATGCTTAACCCTCATTATGCCAGGAAAAAATAGTTATCACCATTTACCATCTGGCTTCAATAGACCCTTTTTATTTTTCTATATTTCAAGTCATTTTACAAATAATATAGAATAAAGGATAACAAAAATCACTCCAAAAAGAATTCAAAATAGCAAACCCAAGTTTTTATCCCAGGTTTGTAGTTTGGAAGGCATATGCACTTGAAATGAGCAAGGTCCTTTTATATAACCAACTGCTCATTAGCTGGCAAACCTGAATCTAGAGTAAAGCCCACTTGTAATGATGCCAGATTTTAAATCCATCTCCAATAGGTTCTAGCTTATCGCAACTCTGATTCTTCTTGTACTGGTACTGTCAAAACACACTCTTGAAACCAACTCATAACTTTGTTGATGGGAGGACAGCCATCTTCTTTGTTTCATAACTAAAAAAATGCTTTCATTTTTAGATTTAATAACCCCAAAGAAGGATCAATCTAATGGTGTGTTTTTTCATTGCTATTATCTATTTCCTTCTAATCATCTTTGTATGTACTCTCCTCTTACATTTGTTCACTTATTTTGTGGGCGAATAAGTGTTAAGAAATCCTGGTGCCCAAATGTCATAAAGGACCAAAGGATGTTGTCATATATACTTAAAAAAAAATAAAAATCAAAGCTGGATGGTCCAGGTTAATATTGGAAAATATTGTGTGATGAAGTTCTTGCAGAATGACTAAAAGAGAACACGTTTCCTTTTCATACACCATATGAATATATTATTCATTCGCCGATAGTTGAGTATGAGAAAACTTATCTAAGGTATCTTCTGAAGAGTCATAATTTTACTTAAACAATCTTACCATCGCAATTAGAGTCTAGAATGTTGCTATCTGTCTCTTTGCATTTATTTTCTGATTTGTCTAATAATAATTTGTCTTCCTCTGTCAATTTTCTTCTCTTTGCCAATAAGG